ACACTTTTTTTTCTCTCTAAAATTCTTTAAAAGATGTCAACAACAGAAGATTTTTCTATTTAGCCTTACATGTCTGCGGTAGAGTCTGACCTAAAATGAGAAAACCAAATTTAAACGATAAATGTGTTTTCTTCTTTGAGGCTACATCATGGAAAACTTAACAATAAACAATACTAACATTAGCTGTAATCTTGTAAATGTTTCTTGCAGTATTTTAATACGAACTACATTTCAGATACCTTTTTAAGTGTAAAACTTGCCATAATGTTAATGAACACACTTCCAAGGATGCTCACGCCATTCCAAATTGTTTTTAATTATGTCTGTCTTCTATATATAGGGCTAATCTCATCAGCAAAAGCCACAATATTCTAACAAAACAACAGCCAGAAGTTACATCAACATGTCTATGATAAAGCTTGATTATTTTAGCGTTTTCCCGCAGCCTTTCACTTTGCTATGTCCGTTGTTACCGTATCCGGAAGGAACTGACCCCGTCAGATGGACGAATTCTTTCGGCTTATCCTTTTTCATGCTTGCTGATGCGCAAAAAATATTACTCTGTGCAGTGACATATTTTTCCATGAAAAAGGAAATCAATGAGACACCTAGAATAAGTTCTGATGCTGAGGAATGGTGTAATGACTTAAGTGGATTAATACACCCAACACCTGAACATTTAGATTTATCTACTTGTTGCTTCAGCGTCCCTTAACTTAGACTGCTAAAGTACTACGAAGAAAACTAATTATCAGATTCGCTAGATTGTTAGCCAGTCATCTAAGACCTTGAAGAGCAGTTCCACACAAATGATACAAGGTAATGTATAACAAAACTGATTGATTACGGATGGATTAAAAAAAGAAAATAAAACCCAAACACCATCTAAGTGTACGAGTGTAAGACCTTGAGACACAATTCAACTTGTTTTGACTTTTGGAGATTTCAAGTACATAACAAAATGCACGTGTATTAAAGAACTAAAACTGGATTTTGCACAGTAAGTGTCCTTTAAAACTTTATATAAAACTGATCAAATGATTTGCTTGGATAAAGTGGAAAACCCAGAATATGTTTCAATTGGCTACATGGCATCAGATGTAACTATTAAGGCAGGGTCTGTCCTCTAAGGTCTCACAATAAAGCAATACAGAAGAGCTTAATCCTTTTTTAACATAATTTGAACATTCAAATGCAGCCAAATTCAGAGTCCGTCTGAAAAGAGTTGGTCACAAACGATAAAGAATAATAAAGCACTAATTTGATTCACGAATGTAGCAGAAAACCATGTTATTCAATGTGTTGTATTTTAGCCTTAATATGTACCAGATATAAGCAGCTCTGTGCATTTTAAAACCACCCGTCTCATCTCATAAAATAATCAAAGTTTATAAGGATTTCCATATTTTCCTTACATACTATTCCAGTTATGATTCTTGTTATTTTTATTTTTTTAAGACAAATTACTTCATTCAAATGGAAGAAACCTAAGAAGTAAAATGTTTTATGTGTTTACCAAATATTTTCTACCTTTTGATATTTTAGGTTACTTCCGAGGACATTATGTTCTCTGTATAGCCTGCTACACCATAATTCTTTTCTCTTCTAACTTGTGGTCCAAATAAGACCCCAATCTCTAATGCACAACAATGTGTTTTTTTTTATTGAGCTATTTAAGTACCTTTAAAGTGATCATTAAACGTTCAACCCCATCCCTTGTGTTAGAAGAGGTACTGTAGTAGTATAGTAATTTGCAACCTGAACCTGTATTATTAAATCAGATGTGAGGTATGGTAAGCAATTTAACCATATAACACACTCTCAAAACTAGATAACCATAATTCCTCTAAGAACATAGCTTTACAAATTAAAGCATGCTCACCTGTTCATAGCCATCAATGCAGTATTTAAAAGTTTAAAAGGAAGATGTTAGACAACTTTCATAGGTTTATTTTAGCTATTGAACCTATATCGGACATTGTTAGGATCTCATTCAAACATGAAATTCTATAACCAATGGGAGACTCCCATAGTAAACATTATATTTCAAATGACCACAAGTGCTGAAAGTTTATTACAAATAAATTAGAATTTTGAATATCTACTATTTTGAAGAAAGAGATGCAATAGACTAAATAGTATGTTTTGAGTCATATGAACGGATAGCTGATACTTTTATGTGTGGAAATTAATCTAGCTGGAAAAGTTCTACATGTTCCATTCTCGGTGTGTGTTTCAACCAGAAGGGCTATTGTGTGTGCCACATTCTACAATCATTACCAATCATTTCCATAGATTAGAACTTTATAGATCTTGCAATGGAAACATTTACTTGTGATATTGGCTCTTATAGACAACAGAAGGTGAACAAAGGAGGAAAAGGTGCATGAAGTATATACAGTGTATTCAGATGTATACAGTATATATGGTAACAAAAATGATATCCTATGTGCAGTCAAGTGGTTGCAGGTAAAGTGTGTTTTCTGGTTTGTTAAATAGTATAAGTTATAAATAAGTTCCAATGTAATTATCCACTCCTCTATAAACAAGCACCTAATTGATTAAATAATTCAGAAGTATGTCCAGATTAGGTTAACTGATTTTGTCATGATGGCACGCCGAAAGCCACAACAGTATTTCTGGATCTCTATTTAGATATGTTGTTAGGGTGGATCCATGGTCCGATTACATTAATTGATAGAGATTGTTTTGATTTCAAGGATTGGTTTAATCAGCCAACATTTATTAAATTATTTCAATATCCACATATCAATAACCAAAGGATTTAATGTTTTCTTTTGAGACCCTGCATAGCAAACATTAGTTCAAAATATGGTAATTACTTTTTAAACAAAGAATGGGTTTATGGTATCTTTTTAGAATGAATGATTGACATTTTAACAAGAAAATAAGAAATGCTAAAATGGAAGAAAAATGCTGCAACTGATCATGCTTTGATCTCTACTCCCTTAAATGTGTGCATACAAAATATTATGCAAGTTAAACTGTCTGTTTCAAGGCCCAAGCAGATTTGAACGCTCCCTGGTCCTCAACCTATTTGAGCCTCTGCAGATAAATACAGGCTAATGGATAAAGAAATAATATTTATGCTGTTTCTTGTGACTGTAGTAGTTAAATCAACGCATAAAGAAATGTCCCGCTTTACTTGCTTTTCTAATAGCCCTCAGCTTCCATGATCAGCTTATCTAGATTTATTATCTAGATTAATTTATGATTTAAGAAAAGTTTCCTACTCCATGTAATATATACATTAACAGCTTATATAGTTGGAAATAGCATGATTTTAAAAACCTGGCTCTATCCCTTTAACAAGATGAAATTGTATCTTAAAAGATTTTATGCTAGTATTGCTTTCCATACATTATCGTCCATTCTCCGCCTACTATTGCATCAGTTGGCCAATCAGCGTCCTACCTGCTCTAAGGCGTGGTGACGTAGGGAGGCGTGTGTGACATTCGCTGCTGTAAGCTAGGAGCCGGATAAAAAAAATGAAGTGGCGTTTGGTGCATGGCGCGTGTTTTGAAGCTGCTTATGGAGAAATGTCTTGGGCCGTGAGTAGTGAGGAAACAGGAAGCGATTCTTGTGGGATGGAAGAGGGAAATAGTGACAATGAAGGTTGGAAGATAGCAACATCAAAAAATGAGAAAAAGCGGAAAAAACAGAGATCAGTTCAAGGGGAATCTAGTTCAGAACAATCCAGTGATGATCATTCCATACATTCCACAGCACAACAAAATGAATTCAAAGTCATATTCAAAGTCGTTAATCAGGCAGACTCTTTTACAAATTGGAATCCGGTTCACTTAACAAAAACCATCAATAAACTTGTCGGAGAAGTCAGAGGTGCCAGAATTCTGTACAGTGGAGACCTGCTAATTATCTGCAGAGACAGCGCCCAGCAAGGCAAAGCAATACGGATCAACAAAATTGACGGGATAAGAGTTCAGTGCAGCTTAATGGAGAACAAAAAGTTCAGCAGGGGAGTCATTGGAGGAGTTCCTCTAAAAATTTCTGAAAAAGAGATTCTGGAAAACATAAGAGGTGCAAAAGTAAAAGAAGTAAAACGGTTAAAAACAACAAGAAACGGAGAAAGATCTGACAGTTTATCTGTGCTAATTAAATTCGAAGAAGAGCAATTACCAAGCAAAGTATTCATCGGTTACATAAGCTATAATGTCAAAATCTACAATCCTCCACCATTGAGATGTTTCAAATGCCAAAAATTCGGTCACATTGCAGCAGTTTGTAAAGGGAAACAGAGGTGTGGAAGGTGTGCAGGAGAACATGAGTACGGAAAATGTGGAAAAGAAGCTAAAACAAAATGCTGTAATTGTGGTGGAGAACATACTGCTGCCTATCGCGGCTGTGAAGCAAGCAAAAGGTCTGAGGAAATTAAAAAAATGAAATTTGAGCTCGGAATAACCTACGCTGAAGCTGCAAAAAGGATCCCATCTCAGTCAGAAAAACCCAAACCTACAGTTCAACACACAGCAAATTCCAAACCTCTAGAGAAATCTCTAAAAATTGATGAAGACTCACTTATTGTTAAAAAGACAAATTTTGTTCTTTTCATGGTAGAAGTTATTAATTGTACTGCACAGACAACAAAAAAAAACGGAAAAAATCAAAATAATAGTGAAGGCTGCAGAAAAATATCTGGACATTAAAGATTTGAACTGGGAGATGGTTGGAAGTATGATGGGAGGACCGATGGGACCATCAGAAACTGGCAGAGTTAAGATGACCTAGAGTAAATTAAAATTATATGGGCAAATGTGATTTAGTATTATGTTGGTTTAAGTTACACAGGTTTTTTTTTTTTTTTTTTTTTTTTTTTTTTTTTTTTTTTTTTTTTTTTTTTTGGGGGGGTGAATCGTTTCCTGTTTTCTTGCTTTACTCCATATCAGTTGGTGGCGGTAATGCACAATTCACAAGTCTGCCAACCGCCATAAAATCCCATAAGAAGAAGAAGAAAAAAATGAAGTGAGGCAGGAAATAGATTATTTTTTTTCTTTTTAGAAACTAGTTTGTATTTTTATTTGGACGTTTTTGTATATCCCAGCGTTGTAAGAGACAGTTTAGACTGAAGGAGAAAACTTCTACCGTCGGCTTCGTTTAATTTTAGGCTAACGCTTTTTTTATTAACTTGTACAGTAATTGTTCGGAGTTGGGCGCTAAGCTCATTTTCTGGATGTTTCTAACATGTTGACACATAGTCGGTAAACTTATTTTTTTGTGTGTTTTATATTTTTTCTGTGTTGCAGCTTCAGCTGAGTTTGCAAACTGCATTTTTTGCTTGCAGGGGTGATTTTTTTTTTTACCTCCTTCTGCATTTCTCTTACTTTCTTATGCCGACCTTTTGGGGCAGGTGTGCTGAAAGTAGGCCAGGTGTGCTGTGGTACAGATAGGGTTCACTGTAGTGTGCTACCGGTCCAACAGCAGACTTCAGGGATTTGTTAGAGAGGTGTCACCATGCTGCTCTCTCTGGTTGTGCACACATACTCTCTGCGGTACTGGTTTCCTGCCACCTTCATGCTGGGTACAGCCCCAGCATATGTGCTCTCATGGGGGGTCTGGCATTTACTTTCCACTGTCCTACCAGCAAGTCTTTACCATAAAATAGACGACCGACTGTACTGCATCTACCAGAGCATGGTCCTGTTCTTCTTTGAAAACTACACAGGGGTCGAGGTGAGTAAACTGATGGTTTGGATCAGACTGAGCTGATGCTCTGCTCTGAAGGCCTGTTTCTCCACATGCAAAATGTTTCTTTTTGTTTTTTTTCTAAACGTCTGGAAATGTATTTGGATAAACCTAGCTAAAGCCAGTCAGTCCTGTTTTTGAAAGGTACTTCTGATGTACCAGTTGCATGGGAAGAAAATCTGCATTTTTCTCTGGTTCCTTGTTGCCACACCTTGCTCAGAGGGTGTATTTGTACTTAGGGTGTAGAAAAATCATGATAAAGATGCTGCCAAAAACCTCTTGTGCGTATTGTGATAGTGGAATGGTTAAAACGAAAGGCAAAGGTTAATTTGATGAGATTAGATTATTAATTATAAATTTGTAGAGAGATTACGGTAGATATCAGAACAGGTTTAAAGCCAAACCTTGATAGGATTTGTTATATAGTGCTGGTCACATTAATGAACACCCCTGGTAAAAGTATATAAAAATAATTTAAAAAGTCCAACCTTTAATAAAAAAAAAAAAAAAAGAAAATAAATTATTGTTAAGAAGAAAAAAAACTTAAGAATCTTTGCAGGAATAATTATTGCTGCCACTAATTTCTTTATTTATTCATAGCTAAAGTAACTTCTAATCAATATTAATCCTTCCATATTTTTCTTAACTCAATATATGTTTCTCATAGGTGCTTCTAAAAATAATCTGCACAAAAACTGTTACCCTGCAGTGAAGGTTTTGATTTCCTACTCTTTTGCTTTCAGATTGTTATATATGGCGATATACCAAAGAATAAAGAGAACGTTGTCTACCTTTCAAATCACCAATGTACAGGTAGTGCTTTTGTATATATACAGCTTCAAAATATAAATGCATTGTAATGTCCCTTTAAACTGTGTATCTTCTTTTTGATTTTAGCTGACTGGATAATTGCTGACATGCTGGCCATCAGACAAAGCGCCATTGGTCACGTCCGATACGTCCTAAAAGACGGGCTAAAGTGGCTCCCACTGTATGGATGGTATTTCTCCCAGGTGATGAAGCGATTAAGTCCTCCACAAACAGTAATCGGAATCTGAAATCTCCATTATACCTTCTATTCAATTTAAAGAGACAATTAAATCACATTATATGTACAGCTTGGTTAAGTTTTCTGTTTAATGAATTGTTTTTTTCTGTCTTAGCATGGAGGAGTCTTTGTGAAAAGAAGTGCAAAGTTTAATGAAAGAGCCATGAAGAAGAAGCTCCTATCTCAGACTCGATGTGGAGCACCAGTAAGTATACAGAGATCACAGCTAATGTTTTGTCTCTACCTCCGTCACAGCCTTTCCAATCGATTGTCTGTTCGATTTCAACATATTCTACTTATTATATTATTGTTTTGATAATCAGCTGAACCCTGAAGCAATTAGAAAAATGAATAGAGAGCATGACAAGACGCATGAAAACTGGAGTTAAGAAATGAAGCCAAACATGGAGATGAAAGATTATGATGTGTGAAAATACTAGTAGAGATTTTAGAAACTTTTTATTTCAACCACTTGTATCTTTCTGTCATAAATGCTCAAGATAAAAATGGTATTGAGATTTGAATAGATCTGATCAGGATTTAAAGTAAAAAACTGAACATACTATGAGTAGTAAAATTTGAGAAACAGATCATTGCATTTATTTCTCTGTATCTTTGTGACTTCATGTGAAATCATTAAATAAGCTATACGGATATGTTGCTTGGTTTCTGTGAAACCTTTTTGAAAATATTCAAATAGCTGTTTTTTGAATACCTCCTATTTATGTGTGTATGTATGTATGTATATATAATTTATATATATATATATATATATATATATATATATATATATATATATATATATATATATATACACTATATTGCCAAAAGTATTTGCTCACCCATCCAAATTATTGGAATCAGGTGTTCCAATCACTTCCATGGCCACAGGTGTATAAATTCAAGCACCTAGGCATGCAGACTGTTTTTACAAACATTTGTGAAAGAATGGGTCGCTCTCAGGAGCTCAGTGAATTCCAGCGTGGAACTGTGATAGGATGCCACCTGTGCAACAAATCCAGTCGTGAAATTTCCTCGCTCCTAAATATTCCACAGTCAACTGTCAGCTGTATTATAAGAAAATGGAAGTGTTTGGGAACGACAGCAACTCAGCCACGAAGTGGTAGGCCACGTAAACTGACGGAGCGGGGTCAGCGGATGCTGACGCGCATAGTGCGAAGAGGTCGCCAACTTTCTGCAGAGTCAATCACTACAGACCTCCAAACTTCATGTGGCCTTCAGATTAGCTCAAGAACAGTGCGCAGAGAGCTTCATGGAATGGGTTTCCATGGTCGAGCAGCTGCATCCAAGCCATACATCACCAAGTGCAATGCAAAGCGTCGGATGCGGTGGTGTAAAGCACGCCGCCACTGGACTCTAGAGCAGTGGAGACGCGTTCTCTGGAGTGACGAATCGCGCTTCTCCATCTGGCAATCTGATTGACGGGTCTGGGTTTGGCGGTTGCCAGGAGAACGGTACTTGTCTGACTGCATTGTGCCAAGTGTAAAGTTTGGTGGAGGGGGGATTATGGTGTGAGGTTGTTTTTCAGGAGCTGGGCTTGGCCCCTTAGTTCCAGTGAAAGGAACTCTGAATGCTTCAGCATACCAAGACATTTTGGACAATTCCATGCTCCCAACTTTGTGGGAACAGTTTGGAGCTGGCCCCTTCCTCTTCCAACATGACTGTGCACCAGTGCACAAAGCAAGGTCCATAAAGACATGGATGACAGAGTCTGGTGTGGATGAACTTGACTGGCCTGCACAGAGTCCTGACCTCAACCCGATAGAACACCTTTGGGATGAATTAGAGCGGAGACTGAGAGCCAGGCCTTCTCGTCCAACATCAGTGTGCGACCTCACAAATGCGCTTCTGGAAGAATGGTCAAAAATTCCCATAAACACACTCCTAAACCTTGTGGACAGCCTTCCCAGAAGAGTTGAAGCTGTTCTAGCTGCAAAGGGTGGACCGACGTCATATTGAACCCTATGGATTAGGAACGGGATGTCACTTAAGCTCATATGTGAGTCAAGGCAGGTGAGCAAATACTTTTGGCAATATAGTGTATATATATATATATATATATATATATATATATATTAGTTCAGGCATGTTAAGTTTCGCAGAACACAATTTGATCTGAGAGTGGTGGAGATTTAGTAGGAGGGTTTGCTGATAATCACATTTTTTGGATTCTGACCTGGTGGGAGCAGCGGATTATTGTGTGTGTTTGTCGTTGTGCAGCCTAAGTATACTAGTATTGTAGGGACCTTTTTATAGAACCACAGTTGCAGTTCGGATAGCTTGTCTTTAAAGGAAGTGTGAAAAATAAATTTCCTGTGAGATAAAATCAAGCAGTGGTTCCCAGCTCCGCTCTGCATGGTCAAGGTGTCAGGGAAGCAATCGTCTAAATCAGGTTTGATAGAGCAGAGACATGTCTAAAATATCCAGGACAGAGGTCTTTGACTAGCAAGTTTAGAAACCAGTGCTCTAAGGTCCTAAAAAAGTCCTACACCACCAACCACTAACTGTTTAAGCCATGCTCTTTATCTGAAATGCAGGCTTACTTTTACACCAGGTGTACAGCCAGCATGCATCATTTGCCGAACATTGCCACTTTGGTGTTGACTGATAATAGATTATTATAATATAGATTAATAATATTCAGATAAAAAATGGTGTAACAGTTAGTTTTAGTTCTATTGCTGGCATGTTTTTTTTTTAGAAATAACATTGCAGATTTTCAAAGGCCTCTAAAGTTGTTAAAAAAGGGAACTGCTGCTTTTGTGCTTAATACATGAAATCCTTAAGAGCCAGACTGGTACAATGTAAGCTGTGCTGAGAAGCTCAGCACTGAAAGTATTTAAAACCTGCCTGTTTTCACAATGGAAGAAATCTGCAAGCGGTGACGTTTGCAAATAATACCTATAACAACTGCCGATATTGTGTTCACCTGTGATTAAATATTCAGTTTAGTCTTATTTAAAGTCCTGAAAAGCTGATCTGATACAAAGGATTTAATATCTGTTCCCTCTAACAAATCCAGGAAATTTCTGAAACCTCCTACTTACTCAGTGCGATAACATCTCCCTTTGAGTTTTTTTATATTTATTTTTTCTGCCCACAGATGTACCTCGTAATTTTTCCCGAAGGAACCCGGTACAACCCAGAGCTGAAGAATGTTATCACTGACAGTCAGAAGTTTGCTGAGAGAGAAGGTAGGAACCAGGATTCAGCAGCCTTCCACTGGCGCTCTGCAGGCTGCATACTGATTCAGTGCAACACACTAACATTTGTAAAACAGCTGAGTTAGTTCTGTTTTACAACTTGTGTTCACCTTGCAGGCAGCGGCTGTACCCATGAGTGGCACCTGCATACAAATTTAGAAAACACTGGGTCCTGAAATTACAATTACTCACAAAACTACAATCATAACATGAAAACGTTAAAAAAAATATATATTTATACTGACAAATCAAGGCTTGGACCTAGTAAGTTAAAACAAACATTTACATACATGTTAGAACAAATATTGTACTTTTCTGACATTAACTCATAATTTTTTTTTTTTTAGGTCAGACAGGATTACCAAAATTTAAACCACACACTCAGTCAGTCTGTCACTACATGGTTAGTTAGTCCTCGGCCAATGTGGTGCCACCCTCTGCCTGTTAATACCTTCCTCACAGCAGATAAACTGAGCACATGCCATCCCTCTCAAGCGATTTATTTGGATTAAAGGGGGAAGGTGATATTTAGAACTATGGCCCAGAGATAGGCTTAATCTCTGCAAAATCGCCAAACAACATAATGCCAGGCTGCCCCTTAGCATCGGAGGAGTCATGCTCCATGAGCAAATGTTCATTTCAGCTGCTCTTGTGGATTGAAAAAAAAGGATATATAAGCTTTAATGTTATGGTTTACATTTTCTGTTGAACATTTATAAAAACGGTTTATTTCTGTGCATTTGTTGGTCTTACTCCAGCTGTCGTGTCTTTAGTAATTGATTGTATCTGTTTTGCAGGTCTGGCTGTCCTGAAGCACACTCTCACACCCAGAGTGAAGGCATCCCACTTAGCTGTTGACATCATGAGTGACAGTCTGGATGCTGTGTACGACATCACTGTGGCTTATGAGGGAACGCTGGATAAAAACGGTCACAGAAGGCCTGCACCATCCATGGCAGGTAGATGGAAGAACCTCCACACAAAAAATATTTGTTTTTCTTTTTAATTTAATATTTTATAAAATTGTTGGGTCTGCAGGTGGCGCAGTGGTTAGCGCGCACGACCTATGTACAGAGGCCTTAAGGCTGATTTATACTTCGAAACTAGGTCGTCTGCGTAGGTGTCGCAGTGAACAAAAAGACGTCCCTGCCCCCTCTGCAGACACTGCTGCACCTTTCCCAAATTGTAGCTGATTGCAGACAGTGACGCAGAAAGGAGGCCTGCTTGTTTTGTTTTAATGACTGCAATTGCGGAAAACAACTCTTGAAGTTTGACCACCTAGAAGAGCGAAGTGCGCGAGAACACTGGGACCCTTTTTCCACCTGGATCCCCGCTGTTTTTCGCCCTCATGTCCCTCTGTTGTCGGACAAACTTGCCCCCACTTCCTCACCGCCTCGGCTGCATCTAGCCTCACAGCGAATTCAGCATAAATCAAAAATGTCTGCGTCAAGCTCCCTGCGACGCACTGCTGCGGGGACTATAATGAGCCCTTTAGTCCTCGACGTGTCTCACCCGGGTTTGAATCCCCGGTCTCTCCCCCTCTCTCATACCCTCTTTCCTATCAGCCTACCGTCGGAAAAAAAAAGAGCACCTGCTGCCGTCAAAACTCATAAAAAATATCTTGTGAGCCTTTTTTTTTTTTATTGTTTTAAATCATTTCTTGTTCTTATAAATAACATTTAATCTAACAGTTTAAGGCTAATTTTGTCATAATTATAAAAATAAGCTTTATGCAAATTTGAAATATTAGAAATAAAGTCTAAATAAGAGCAAAGCTGATTTTTAAACTTAAGCCTCACTTTACTGGCCTCTTGTTTTTAAACTCCAGTTGATTTATTTCTTTATATTTCATGCAAATGTTCATTTATCAGCTATGAGGGTTACAGGTGGACGGCTCTGTGTAACTCCACTCTCCATAAACATTATTGTGAGTGGCCTTCCTGCTAATTATCGCCCAGCAAACATCACCTTTTACAGCCATGCCTTCCTGTAAACTGCGTGACTCTGCTATTTTTCAGAGTCTCTGATTGTTGTTGTTTGTTCCTTGTTCTTTGAGAAACACCGTTGGATTTAGAATAAGAAACAACAACTACAGGAGAAAAACATCCAGTTACAGTCAGGAAAAAACGTGGATGTTTCTCGCAAACAGGACGGACAATAAAGGAGCATTGCTCTCATCACGCACTTCCTGGTCTCTTGCTGTGAAGGTGACTTTAGTGGCTTCACAGGGAGCTGGAAGTGACCTGCGCTTGCTTTCACAACAGCTATTTTAAACTCACTGATGTTAAGCTTAAACATATACCTTTACGAACTCGGATAGTAATTTCTGCACAGTAACTAAAATATAACTTTCTGTTAAGCTTCCAAAATTATAAAATTTAAGATTAACGATCAGTTCTCTATTGGCTTCTTGTGTAACCAAATACCCAGTTTCTTTATAATGAACAAACTGCCGGACATACATAATGGGATATGTATGTGTGTGAGTATTTGTAAGAAAAAATAAATAATTTAGATATGTTAGCTTTACTTTGAATGAAAGGAGATGTTTGTTTATTTGTTTTTGGCAGAAATTAGAGAAATAAAAAAATGCTTGTTCAGATGATCTCACCCTCTCTGACAATAAACACAATAGATCAATTGATCTTGTGGCTTGACCTCTGTTTTGTTAGGTTCAGAAAACAGGATATTGTCCTCATATGACACTGAGCTGCTATGCATTTATGATTCAAAGCTCGGTTTTTATCTCCTTCTCTGCTTTTATTGCTCTAACTTATTGCAGTGGTAAAATATTTATGATAGAATATACATAAAACTTCAGTAACTCATAGGAGGTTTTTACTACTCTTACTACTAGAGCAGGGTTCAAAATATTAGCTCTAGTTAAAAGGTAAATAACATGTTATTATGATGGCATCCTTTACACTGGAAACTACAGCCTATAATTTGTTTAGCTCTATTCATCTATTGTCAATCGTTTTAAACTCAGACATCACCTAAACTCGCCTGTATATCAAGTCAAAGCAATAGATAAGTGTTTAAAACAATTGCTACTCTTGCATTTACTTTCCTGCAGTCTGAACACTGATACCATGGCAACGAAAACTAAACTAATTGACTGTGTCTGAACATCCAAACATCCGTTCTTACCCCTAAATCCCTCAATCATTATATAGAGCGGGGACTATATAGTGAGCTCAGATAACTTCCAGTTTGGACAGATGATCACTACTTTTCACTCCCTATTGGTCACGTAACTCTGCCTCCCTGCACCGTGCCTGCGCCATCTTTGTTATTTATCTTCGCTGTTGGGTAGTGATAGCCTATGGCGACAGCGGGGCCACTGTGACAACATATCCCATGATGCTTTGCGAGGAGAGCTCTCCATGCAAAGCATTCCGTGATATATCTGCTCGTCTAGTGATTATGGATGATCACTTCTTTTCAAGGTGCATTGTTGGAAATTTCGAGTCCACTACTTTTTCATCCACTAGACATTTGGACACTCATTTAAAAGGGCCTAACCACTATATAGTGCCCTATATAGTGGTTAGGGCGGACATTCGGGTACAGCCATAGTTTGAGAAGTGGTTCAAAGCGTGGCAACTTATGGTCTCCAGGTAGAAATTGATTTAATTATTAGTCTGAATAATCTCTGAGATGATTTATTCTTTCTGCTTTAGCACTTGAAATCTAACTAACATGCATGTTTACTCATTGAAGGGAAATAAATATTATGTTTCTTAATGGATTTCATTTGAAGAGAAATCGATTGGAGATGCTCTTTTTCTTGAGTCACTGAAACCTTTAAGTTTTCTTTTTTTAAATTGTGTAAATATTATTTTGGTAGTTGGCTGATGTTTAGAATCTATTTCTCCTGTTTCTTGCTGTTTTCCTACAATTTGAGGGGAAAATTGCTTTGCCTAAACTCGAGCAGCCATCACAATCAGCTCTGCTGTCTTCTGATTTACTTGGTGTCATGTTTTTTATTTTTTTATTTTTTTTTGGTCAATGGTTGGGCGCTCCTCCAGAGCCTCTGTATCTCACTGATTGATGCATAATCATTAAACTGGCATATGTTGTGTCTGAAGGCCATTGGAAATGGGGGCAGCTGCTGATATAGATGCTACAGTGAAGCAAGCAGTGCTCTGCTGCCTTCTTCGATCACATTTCCTTTTTCGGATTTCAGTGGCATGTTTCCTGATGTACTGCATGTTGTGGAAACAGGAACCTGAAGGCCTTGGGGTGTAGACGTTCAGCCTTGAGCCTAATTACTTACTTACATTTTAATATGTGACCTTCTGAGCTAATTTGGTTTTGTTTCTTGCTTATCGACTTGGCAAGTTATTTGGCTGGAGGCCTAAGAAATGTATAAATATTGGAACAGCTTGGAAATGCTTGATAAAGATGAAACGAGTGCTGTTTTTGTAATTCAAACTTTTAAACAACTTTCTCTCTACCTTTTTCCTGCCATGTTACTCCACTTTTACTCCACTCAGCCTGAAGCTTATTTCAGCTTTGCTTCCCAGCAGCTCTACTCCATCACTGTCACCTGAAGCTGGTGTTAAGGACTCGCTGTACGTGCCTCTTTGCTGAAAGGCACTTCCTGTTTTTGTTTAGCCTCTTATTTTTTATGTTTGGCAGAATTCCTTTGCAAGGAGTGTCCCCGCATCCACATACATTTCGACCGTGTGGACATCAAGGGAATCCCCTTAGAGCCTGGGCTTTTCCGCAGGTGGATGCACAACCGCTTTGAAATTAAGGATCGGTAAGTATGTTTCAAACATCCCACGCAGAATAATCTTGTTAAGTAATCAAATCTAACTGTAAGTAATAAAAGAACAGCTAAGAATGAGCTATATTCTTGTTTTAAAAGTCTAATTTTAAGTCTTTAAAAGTCTACAGTTTAACACATAATATGACAAAGTTGTTAATTTGAAGAAAATAAAATATATAAACACAAATCTGAATAGTGTGGCAGGTTCTGATAAAGGATCCATGATTAGTGGTAATAATTGACTTTTTGAGAAATATTTATTTTCTATGGAAATACAATTCTAAGTTTAAAATTGTCCAGATCAGTATTGTTTTTATTAATTTTGATGAAATTATTTTGTTGACGCTCCTTTTTTTCTTAACAATAACAAAAACTGACTAGCAAAACATGTATCTTTGATAACTAAAACATGACTAGTCATGGGTTTGAGTTTACGTCGAGACTAAATAAAAATTGGCGGGTGGTCGGTCAGACGTTTAAAATGCATCATTGTGCTGTAATCTGCTAAGCAGTATCAGCCATGCTGCTGCGTCCTGTTTGAGAACATTCAGCATGACCACAGATGGATTATGGCAGCAGCGGCAGGGGAGAAAATTACCCGGAATGGTCAGGTACAGTGCGCTGAACTCTGACAAATTCTGATCTTCAATCGGTGCTTGTGCAGAAATGCATCTTTTCACGCACATAGCTCTGAGTCTGCGCTTTACGCTCCACACTGATGGTTTTCTCTCAGTAGTATGGCTCTTGATGCTCTCGCTACTTAATAAACTATATGTGGCTGGTCATCCTCTGTCAAACGTAAAAAATCCTTTAGTCTAACTATTAAGACTTTATTTCTTCCAGCTCACAAGAGGTGATACTAAACATTCTTTAATTTCTAACAAAAGGAATCCCTAAATGACATCCAAACCAAATATTTCATTGCATATTGTTATTTTTGGATAAAGACCAAAATTAAAGGGTACATAGATCTTGGAATATTTCTCTCTCTTGAGTTTCCTTTAGATATTCCATTATTTTAGTTATCATATTCATTCATCTTTTGTCTGGATTGTTGCGGCATTACAAGGCAATTATGTCGCGTTCTTTTTTTTTTTATATCAAAACCCTGGGGATTTTAATCTACTTTGACCCTGAGCAGCAATAACCAAGGGAACAAGGGGCAGATTGAAGAAATGAAGCCAAAATTGCCAAAGCAAAAAGAAGCTTTTTGGAGCAAAGAAGATTGTATTGATCTGTGTGTAATGCCTAATTCATAGTAGATCAGGAAGTGTTTGCTTTTGAAGGGAAACCTTGTATCTCTAAAACCATTCCTTTATTGTACATTTTATTACCTTGTCTGTCTGCTATATGAACCAATATGAGGTGTTGATCTAGAGCTGCTATTTTCACAGCTGTTGTGAGACACTTTTTTATAAAGTAGAGCATTAATTCATAAAAAGTTTATATGAATTCTATAAATCAAGGTTTTCTGCCCAACAGCAATGATGAACTGCATGGCAGCATTCTATACCCAGCAACTGTAGTATTTAGGCAAGAGCTGTCAGTCTGGTAACAACACTGGTGCAGATGTGAGTCCACTATACACTGCAGGGCAACATTCTTTTAAGGTCCTAAACAGTCTTTTTGCCCATATGTGGTACATATCTGACTTTTTCATGGCAGTCTGAATGGCCTAATGAAGATTTCACAAAGAAGAAATCCTCATAAAGTGAGGAACATTATGAACAGCAGTGAGCTTGTCCTGTTGGGAAGATTGTAAACAACAACAGTGTTTTCAGTAAGAGGTCTTTTTACATTCTGTGCAAGAGAGACTCATAAAGAAGATCCTTCAAGCCTACAGCTATCAACACGCACAACAACCTGTTGAAAAACTGCCCTTGCATTATTACATTTAAATTCCCCTTTGGATTAATAAAGTATGTTTGAATTTCATGTGAATTCCCCATGCAGAAAAAAATCAGATTTGAGCCACTTCCATATGAGGAAGTACTAAATTAGATAAATACCCAATAGCGTCTGCATGTCTCATTTTATCATTGCCAGGACTCCCGCTAATCTTCCACACAGACTTCTGCAGCTGCAGTATCACTGATTGCTTTACAAACAGCCCTTGTTAATAGTTATGCTTTGATGATCCTGCCAGCTCCCATTGCTCAATATTCTAATAATTACACACAGACATCGGCATCCATTGTTAGGTATTTTGTTTGTTTAGCATATAACACTTCTAGTGACATTCACATCCATTATTCCTTCCATAAACATTATATTGCTATGTGAAGTCTACATTATTCTTCTTCATATGTGGGTTACTTTGATGTCCTGAATCGTTCAGACTCAAATCTGATAGCAGTCACATATTCTGTAGTATGAACGACCATGCCAAAAAAGATTGGACATGACCAAACATTTAGAACTGAACATAGAGAGCTACATTGTTAGCATAGCCTTGGAGAAGATAATGGTGAAAATGATATTAATTTCCTGGCCTTCCTTTCATTCTACTTTAAAACATTCTAGAAACCACTAACAAACCAGCAGATTGAGAGCTAAGTGCTCTGTTAGCAAAATAACGCACAATCAGATCTCCGATATCAGATGGAGCTTGGCTATTAAGGGCTTTTTGTGTGAGGAGCATGATTTTAAATTCTATTCTGTAATAAACTGGGAGTCGATTAAGGGAAGCTAAAATAGGAGAAATATGATCTTGTTTGGATTTGATCAGATCTCCAGGTGCAGTGACACCTCCACCGGTCCTGTACCTTCCAGTAGTAGACAGCCGCAGATCAGCAAATAACAGCAACAAGTTTGTATTTTATTTAAAATGTCAGGAAGGAGATGAGGGGGTCCTCCACAGGTCACTAGTCTGTTGTTAATTTTAAGATTTCTTGTATTGATGAAAATAATCTGTGGAATAATGTTTATGAAACAAACCAGACAGCTTGTTTTTTTATTATTTAAAGGAAACTATAGAATGCATCATGTTGTCAACAGGTCATTAAATATATTGACTTATTGAAAGGCTGTGTTATTGTATAAGAGTACGTTATATTCTCCTATTTTTTGCTGTTTGCATTTAGCAGTATCTGGTTGGTTTTCCTGTGCTTTGTTTAAAAGATTTTATAAGTTTAAGATTTTATGGGTTGCTTAAGATATGTTTTTTTTTCCACATCTTTTTTCTGTCTTTTCAATGTTGTTTACTCAAGTACATAAATGTAACGGATGGGGAAAAACAATTTTCTTTTTTTAAAATAATTTTCTAATAAGGAAAAAAAGTACGAAGCAGCTCTGTTTACAACTTCAGATTTTTTAACCATAGTAAAATTAATAACAAAAAGAAATATGTTGAGCTGGTAATTAACTCAACATACACCTGATGTATGTTTGTGCTGTATGTGTCTGTTCTGCACACTTTCTTTCATTCTGCAGTTTTCCATTCCTCCTTGCACTTCTCTGACAGCCTTCCTCTTCTTTTTTTTTCTCTAAAGGTTGCTGACAGATTTCTACGAGTCAGAGGATCCAAACAAAAAGTGCAGATTCCCAGGCGAGGGCAGAATCTCTCCGCTGAAACTCTCAAAGTCCCTCCCCTCGGCGATGATTTTAGGAGGGCTGACGCTGCCAATGCTGCTGACGGAGAATGGCAGGAAGCTTTATGTGAGAACCTGGGTTTATGGGACACTTCTGGGCTGGCTCTGGGTGAACATTTCTCCCTAACGGTTCCAGGGTCTGACTGCCATGGAGAGACACGAGGAAGGTTCGCAAATCCCCTTTCCTGTGCTGCAGAAACAGAGTCTGTTTCAGAGGCAGAGCAGTACCTGATACGATACAAGAGTATTGATTGTCCAGCTGTTGAGCGGAGACACTGAGAAATACTTGAAGCTTTGTGTAAAAATTATTAATATAGCAGATTCAGTGAAACATGACACAAAAAATATCCTGATACAACTAGATTTTGCCAAATTAGCATTCTTGCATGCAGTTTATTCATTTGGACATTAGCAATTTCTAAAGCTCCTGTATTTTTTTTTAAAAAACAAAGTGAACTGGCTACCTTAAAAAGTAATAATTTAAGTGCACTGACTAATCAGTGTCAGATATAATACTTTTACGCCAAGCCCTGTCTGTGGAGGAATATGCACTTTTGTGTTTTTTACACTGGCAGAACAGAACAAACAGCACACAGCTCCACCTGGAGGGGTACATGAAAACCACACCAGCTGCATTTTCTTTCGTTTTGTAACCATACTTATATCCACACCGAACCCTTTTCTTTCTCTCAAGACTGTGAATGTAGTGCTAAAACCATTCATTCATGAAGACGGGAAGAAAACAGGAATGTAAACTGCTGGATTTTTCTGTGCACACTTCTTGGTTACAGACCCCCCCCCCCCCCCCCCCCCCCATGGAGGAAAGTGCACAGATGATGCAAAAATGTGTTCTACCAGTGTAAGATCAAACTCAAACCTTTAAGTGTCAGCCGTTGCCAAAAGCTGGTGTGTTTGCCATAATATTGTATGGAGAGTGTCTCTGTGTGTTTTTATGTTTTATATTTAGCTCGTAAATCACAGCTTTAGGTTTGCTCCTGACTTTTCTTTTATTACAGTTAATTATCCAGTTTCATTACTTTGATACATTTATCACGTAATAAATTATCTTACAGTTTATATGAAAGTATCTACCTAACAAATGCTGGTAAAGCCATGTTAACAGTATATACTGTAGGTTCCTGTGCACTCAAAGCCATTTGTGTTATCACATTATTGTATTAAGAAATGCACTATTTGTCCATCGTTGTTTACTATAAAGATACCATTGCATTTTCCACTGGTCACTTTACTTGTAAGCAGTCTCATCATGCTCTGTTAGTCGTCTGTGTTTTCATCATCTCAAAAGTAAGGTAATTGCCTCATTGATACATGCCGCTCCGATACCTCACTTGAAAACTCCTTCCTTTAAAAAAAAAAAAAAATCCTTGTCAGCCATTTTATACTCATTTTTATCCTGACTAGAGCGGACTGGTAGCCTGGTCAGGAAACTGCAGACGGTATTTAAATGCCATCAGTCTTTTGGAAACGTGTGCCTTCTCTTTGGGGGCCACAGTGGCTCCTTTCCACCAGGGGACTGTTGGAGCTGCCTCTTACTGCGGCACATTGTCTACAGTTCATAGTGGCTTTTTTTTTTTTTTTTTTTTTGCTCTAAAATGCTTTGATTTACATTTTGACGACTATTAATAAACAATAAAACATTTGAAGTGTTCTGGGATGTGGAACTTAAAGGTGAGAGGGAAATAAAGAGTTGTTTTTTTTTTCCTTGGTAGTCATGTTTTCTGTCTGTTTAAATAAATGAATGTCTGCATTGGTTACACTAGATTGTACCTGCCAAAATTCTGGGAAAATAAAAACTTCTGTCACTGGACTGAAAAAGGGTGAATAAAAAAAACTTCTGGGGTCCAAAAGGCAACATAGTCTTAAGCTGTTACTTTGAAGCTCCTTCTGGTTAATTTTCCTCATTTTTATATATTTATAAAGAAAGAAAAAAACAACCTCTTATTTCAAAAGGCATATTTGGCACCAAACTCTACATGGTGGCAGAAAAGTTCTAGTGGCAACATCACTGTGGGCTTATTTTCCCTCGGATGAATCTGACTTTTTTTAAAGTGATGCACTTATAAAGAGCCAAAAAAAACTATTATCTATTTTTGGCATAGAGCAAAACAAAACACGGGGATATTACATCGTTTAATAAACAGGGAGCTAAGGAGCCACTTGCATGTAGCAGATGGCTGATCTAGCAAATGAAATCTGATCTTATCTCAGTACATCTGAAGCTAAATTTGTAAGGCAATGCAAGTTCATAGCACATTTCAATACATGGACAATTCAAAGTGCTTTACATGAATTACATAAGATATAAGGAAAAATTAACATAACAGTTGGAACACAACTTTAAACTAATAATACCTCAGTTAACAGTTTAACTTCAACAGTTAAAGGTAGTTCCAAAAAAATGGGTTTTTAACTTTGGCTTTAAAGAACTAAGGCTTTCAGCACTTTTCCAGTCTTCTGAGAGTTTGTTCCAGATCAGTGGAGCATATAGGAACTAAATGCTACATTGTGATGTAAAGCTGTGTGTCGTCTGCATAGTTTTGGTAACTTACTTTGTTGTTTTACTATAATCTGAGCTAAGGAGAGCATGTAGATGTTGAATGGGAGGGGCCCCATGATGGAGCCTTGGGGAACTCCGCATGTGATTTTTCTGGTCTCTGTTTTAAAGTTCCCTGCTGACACATAAAAGTCCCGATCCTTCAGGTAGGTTTTAAACCAGTCCAGTATCAGAAAGGTCGACCCAGATTTTTAAAGTCTCTAATAAAATCAAGTGATCGATAGTATCAAACGCTGCACTGAGGTCCAATAATACCAGCACCATGGTTCTTCCAGAGTCTGACTTTACATGAACGTCATTAAACACCTTAAGCAGGGCAGTCTCTGTATTGTGGTTGGCATGGAAACCTGACTGGAAGACATTGATGCAGCTGGTCAATGTTATGAAGCATTTAACTGTTAAAATACAACTTTTTAAATAATCTTACTGATGAAGGGGAGGCTTGAGATGGCTCAGTAGCTCTGGTGGACCAATTTGTCCAACCTCTCTTTTTCAACAATGGTTTGATAATTGCTGTTTTTAAGGCTTGGGGGGGGGGGACACCCGACATAAGGGAAGTGTTTATGATTTCAATCAAATCTGACTCTGAAAAAGGCAAAACCTGTGGGTAAACCACCAAGACAGCAGGAAGAGGAGCTTAGCTGCTGAACACTTTTTTCAAAACTTTTCTAGTTTCTTGGGCAGAATTAGGACATTTTCACTGCAGACAGCATTGCTACTGGATTTGTCGTTGATGTGCAAACTGCTTTTCTAATACCTTGTATTTGTTCAGAAATAAAATTGCCGAGTTATTGCAGGCCTTTTTAGTGTGGAGTTCATCGTCCACTGTGATAGGAAGGTTTTATTTACCTGTCGAATGTGGCAAATAAGGGGCGAGCATTGTCGATGTTTTTGTTGATATTCTCAGAGAAGAAAGGTTCTCTTGCATCTTATTCTTTTAAATCTTTTAGTGCATTTTTAAATCATTCTTTAAATAATCCTTAAAAAAAAAACAGTCATAGTTTTTGTGTCAGGAAATATGAGAAATTTAGGTATGTAGTATTATGTCTTCACTAAAGGTGTCCGGACAAGTTTTTTAGAACCACCCATGTCTGTTATGGGTTTTTTTAATGGTGTTGGACAGGAGTCTGGATCTGCCTGATTTGTATTTTTCTTAAAACATTTTCACACAAACATGCTGAAAAAATGTTTTATCAAACAAATGTGATAATCATATGAGAAATACTGTAAGTAGTTAGGACATGTTTAAAATGTCTGCAACTATACACTCTGCCAGTAAATGGTTTAATTGGGAGAAGAATCTAGCAGAAATTAATGCTTTTCTGAGACTCAAGTGTTTCAGTGCATTATGAGACCTCATCTCACCCATCACTAGAGGTTGGTCAAAGCTCCTATACCTTAGACCACATATGTCAAAGTCAAGGTCCGCCGGATTGTCTTTGCATGTTTGGATTCGTTTGGTCTTTGCTTTTCTCCCTTTAACAATCCAAGCTGGGCTGAAGTCGGTTGTCTGAGGAGGCGGAGTGCATTAACTGCCTGGATGGAGGGAGGGGCAGAGCTGATTCATCCAGGCTCCATCCTGTAGTCTTTTTGATTTTTCGGTCCTTTTTGGTATTGCTCTGCTCTTCTTTTTTAAAGAACCTCTGGCTGAATTCTGGGTCCGTTGCTGTCATTCGGCACAACATTTTTAAAGTTTTTTGTACAAAACGTGATTTTTCTTTGAAGGAAGTAATGTTTGGTCAGTATGCCATCGATTTTTGTATTTTATATTATTTATTAATTTTTTCAGTTGGAAAAATGCAGATAAGAGCCATGAGAGAAAATACAACAGATTTTTTTTTTAAATTATTATACTATTTGAAGCAGTGATCAGTAGGATCATAGAGCAGCACAGTAATGTATTTTCGGTTTATGATGCATGCACTTTCATTTATGTATTTATATTGATAAGTTTATTAATACAAGTACATTTTATTAATAATATTGATATTAATATTCTGTTTTTTTTTTTAAAGCAATGTGTTAGGTCTTGGTTCAATAGGCTATGTTCATCTCTATATGTTTTTAATAAATATTTAACCAGTCTGGCCCTCAGCTTGCAGGAAGTTAGTTTTTTTTTGGCCCTCGTTGTATTTGACTTTGACCCGGCCTTAGCCTAACCAGCTGAAAACAAATGACTCAGTTTTTCTTTCAAATAGATAGTCCTCTATGCCAGAGGCGTGTCTTATTACATCTGCTGTTTCCTGTCAGTTCTTGCAGGTACTTGTCCAAAGACTGGTTTTTCTCTCTGCTGTCATCCATCGCCTTTTTGCTCAAGAGGGACCGAGTAAACAACTTGATCCAATCAGCTGGGCCTCTTATTAATGGTTTTGATTGTTTTATACCTATTCCATTGTTAATACATTTGGTTAGTATAACAGCATTTATTATTTATTTTTTACACTATATTTTATTCCCACTGAATAACAGATGTTTCAACAAACTCTCGATGAAAACAACAACAAAAAATCACACCTTTTAGGAGGTTACTCAGAGGGCTGGACCTGTCAGTAACATGTGAATGCCATCGTCCACTGTGGACGTGCTCTATGTTTTATTTTGGGTATCTTTTAGGACAGAAAAAACAGACTCACACAGGTCTTTCATCCATGGTAGTCCTTCCTTACAAAGATAGCTTCAAAGTTGCAATTAAATTCTCATGTTATTTATAAATAATTATGATCAGGTTCTGGCAAATAATATATTCCACTCAATTAAAAATCTATTCCTTTTTTCTATTCTTTCCATTCCAATTCATTTCCCATTTTAGAGACGCTTAAGCAGCCCCTGTTGGGCTCCCTCTGAAAACCACAGTCCTAATTAAGCCTTTGTAATCGTTCAAATATTAATCCTAAATTGACAACACAAATGCAGTAGTTAATTATTCAAATCAGTATACAAAAAGTAAAAATAATAGACTGGTGCTCTTATCAGAATTATTTTTTGTGTTATTTGAGATAAGGTTATGTCTCAGCATTTTAGAGTATTCTATTTAAATGAAAATGAAGATCATTGGCTCAACCCTTTTGATGTGCATTATGCAGAACCATAAATGATTCATTTAGTCACCATAGAAGTATAATTGTTTGGTTTCGACACCTATCAGTTTTCGGCCATCTGTCAGTGTACATTGGGCCCTGACTGACCACCCATAATAAAGTTTATTTGGCTGTGCCACTGTCTGCACTTCCTTAGAAAAAAGCTTTAAGTTCTTTTTAATATCAATGGAATTATATCCTGTTAAATAAGGTATAATAAAGGGGGGGGGGATTTTAAGAAGTTGTTAGAATATATTCACATGGGAGGTACACCTGGTCTGGTATAGTTTGTCAGAGTGTGTTTAAAAGATATGTACATATACATGTTTTTTTTTTTTTAAGTGCAGCATCACTTTTCCTTGTATCCACTTTTTTATGTTTCATTAACACCGATTTGAACTTTAGTTAATAAAGCCTGTAGTATGTGGAAGTATGTTACATTCAAAATTTCCTGTTTTTATTGCATTGCTGTGGTTAACCATAAAAATTAGATTAGATCAACACTATTGTCCCCAAGGAAATATGTCTTAGTTACAGTCTTTGTTGCTGCGTGGCCCTGGCTGTCACATTACATTCAACAAATGAAAAACGTTTCTATGAGAGATCCATGATAATAAAAGTGAATACATAAAAGGAGCATGTCCAATTGCATTCACTCATAAAAATACTACTCTGATATAAAAACGTATGTTGTTCTCTGACTTTTAAGCCAATGATGAGTAGCCTATCTTTGGGTTAAATAAATTATCCTTTATTTGCCACATCTATTAAACAACATTTTCTATACAACCTTAGTTACTTGACTTTTTTGTATTAGATTAGCGCTTTATGTAGGTCAGGTCAAGTTTCTGATTTTCCTGAGAGTCAGTGAACACATCATGAAACAAAACTGGCATGCGCGCTCCGATAGAAAGCAACGTCAGGAAGTGAAGGCCTATAGACAGTAATCTAATCGGTTTTCGTTGATCTTTGATTTGGACCACAGGTGAGACAGTTTCACTGCCAATTATAAGCTATTTACTGAGTGTAAAATATGTATGCTGGAAAAAAAAGTGTAAATTTTAATGCACATTTCCACGTCTTGGTCTGATTTTGTTCTTCAGTAATTGCTTAAATCACAGAGAGGTAAACAGCGACATCTAGCGCTAAATCTGCGCACTACAGAGATTAAAGATAGGAGTTTAGTCAAAACAGTTATATAAATCGGGTTTTTCCTGTTATATGTGTGTGCGTGAAGCGGATTATTCTACGTCTTTTTAGTGTAAATTATATATTGATTTTTAAAGTCTATGTTTTTACAGCTCTGCGCTGAAAATGGACTGGATTGGTTTCGGCTATGCTACTGTGGTCATTTTTGGAGGATTTATGGGATACAAGAGAAAAGGTCCATTTATTTTATTTTTTCATGTTAACAGAATCACTCCACGAACTCATCAAATATTTTTTCCTAACTTTCTTTAAACTATTACAGGCAGTGTGATGTCCCTGATTGCTGGGTTGGTGTTTGGTGGACTATCTGCTTATGGCGCTTATAACATCTCCAATGATCCAAAAAACGTCCTGGTGTTATTGGGTTAGTACACCTGTAGGGGGAGTTTGGGGTTTTTTCATTAATTATTTTCTAATAAGTCCTGTCATTGAATGGGATCTATATGACTGGGATAATACTCTATAGAAACATTTAGAAAAAAAAGTTGCAAGAATTAATAAAAGCAAGAAACTAACTGAAGCTCTCAGCATTTAGAGAGAAATGCTGCCACTTGTCATTATTAATTGATATAGTTCTGTCCTACTAAAATGTTGGTCACTAAACAAGTATCTCATGATGGATATCGGCCAAAGAAGCCTTCACAACTTCCACATCGCAAACTGTCATCGCTTAAAGATTTAGTGTCTACAGAAAAGGTACAATACCCTTGTTAAAAAGTTGGTGATACAAATATTACACTGAAACTCAATTTAGTTTAAATATCAAATCAATATTTAAAAGAAAAACATGTATAAACTTATTGAAACCCTGTGTACATCCTCAAAAAATTTTCAATCTAAGCAACTTGTGATTAAGATTTAATATTTGTTCTCACTTAAATACATTGCCCTGCTTTGGATTTACAAGTTTTACAGTAGAGGAAGTGGCTCAAAGGCTCTATTGTACAAAAGTCACGGTCAGGAGAAGAGTCCATGGGAAAAATAAAAATACAGAAAAGAGAAGATCAGACCACAGATTTTATTTCCTTTTTAAAACAAGATGTGAAACAAGAACTGATATGGAGACTGAATTAATTCAATGGCAGCATGGCTGTCAAAAAGTCAACAGACGGTCTATGTTGCACGGCAGAAATTAAGCTTTTCCTCCCAGAAAAAATATCCAGGCCTGGCAACAGTACAACGGTCTTTATTGCTAAAAGAACACAATGCTTACAGTGAAGCACGGTGGTGGTAGTGTCATGCTCTGTTGTTATTTTTGCTTCAGATCAAACTGTTTTCTTCCTTTTAGTAGATGAACTTCAAAATGGGTTCAGGTTGTAAAAATAAAAAGGGATTCCTTTTTTTAAGTGAGTCACAGTGAGTTCAAGCATACATCCAAAAAACAAAAAATAAAGATAAAATAATGATTTTTGTAAGATTTGTCAGATCACAGAATTGGATCTGACAAAAAAAAACCTGTTGCCTCACCGGAAGGCTGTAGACATAGAAGTCGGCACTAATCAGATACTTTTGGTGAACCTTAAAAAAGGAAAATGTTCCTTAATCATGCTCCAAAAATATTAACTGCTAAAATTAAATGATAAGGCGCTTCAACAAACTATCAAAGGTTTTTTTCAGATTTTCCATTTCTTCCCACATTGATTTTAATGTTTTAACTTTTGAGAGCCACCATATTTCTAAATATTAGAGTAAGAACAAAGGAGGCCATAATACAGACTGGAAAACAGCCTAATTTCACCATTCAAAAGCATAACCAGGAGCTACATGTAAGGTTCTTAACAGAGGAATCCAAAAGTGAATCAAGTTGTTTAAAACTGCTGTTGACAGCGGGAGTTGGAGACCCCTGCTAAATAGTTAAAGAGACAATAAATATATCTGGACCTGAAGATGAAATGAGGCAGGATTTAAAGTGTCAAGATGATCGCAAGGAATATATTGGGAAAGGAGAATAGCTTAAAAATGAATGGAAAGAGAGGATGATAAGCGTGGGTAAAATGTTACAAACACCTGATGAGAATTTCAATTAACAGCCTCATTATTTTGTTTTTTTTTTGCATGTGTTTCAGGCTCCTCCGGGCTGCTGGCAGTCATCATGGGAACAAGATACAAGAAATCTGGGAAACTAATGCCTGCAGGAATTATGTCGGGGTTAAGGTCTGCCAAAATTGCTCAACTTGCAGAAAAGCTGATTTTGCAATAAAGATTTTGAGACAAGTGAGTTAATTTGCTGCTTTGTTCCCTTTTATTTCCCCAGTTTGCTGATGGTGTTTCGCTTGTTGCTCCTGATCATGGTGTGACCAACTGAGAAACCTCTCAGTCTCTCTACGAACCAGTCATTATAAAAAACGAGCTTCACTACCAAGTCTGTATTTCTGGCAGGGTTTTTCAAAGTCTTTAATTCATGATCCTCATGCGAGTCTGTGTATGATTGTAAATAATTTCATGTAATAAATAATTTGATGTAATTAACCTGAATTTACTTACTAAACATGACAAAATACTTGTTAACATTACAGGTGCTTGATGCTTTTTTTATGAGATAATTTAATAGAATTGTAAATTGGGTTAGCAAAATGGGATTTAATTAAATGTTTTAATATTTAAAAAGAGAATTAGGAACTACAAATAAAACGTAATAGAGATTTTTTTGTTTGTTATAAGTATGCTGGTCTTTAAACAGAAAACAAAACAGATTTAGATGTGATCTAAAATGTCTTTATTTAATTTACATATTGATATTGTAAGAAATGATTCCACAAATCAACTAATGTTAAAAAGATTAGTTATTTAGTAGTTATTTACATTGAGATCAACTCAATGTACCCGAACCACAGATGCTCACAATGAATCATCAGTTTTAATAATGCTTTCTTCATCCCTGAACCTGATTTTATTAGAGGAGATTATAACGGTCCGGTGATGTTGAACACTTCCATGACGGTCTTGGTGTAAGTTTCGTCCGGCTGTGGCTTTCTCTTGCTGCCTGGCTGCAGAAACCTGCTGATGGCGGGAATCTTGATCATCCTGCCTTGAAAAGACTGGAAGAGAAAAAAAAAAAGATTTAAATTAAAATTTTAATTTATTTAAATTCAACAGAGCACAAAAGCTGACACATGGTGGTACAAAGCTGTGATGTGTAAGAAAAGGATGGCTTCTATCATGTAAAAAAAAAAAAAACAACACATTTTGAATACTAAAGCATTACCTTGAGGTTCGGAAAATCTTTGAGGATAGCAGGAAAATTCTCCTCCAGCATCAAAGTACACTCAACCAGCAGCACATCTGCAAGGCTTAGCTTCCCTCCCACCAGGTACACAGGTCCAGTCAGGGCCTGGAAAGTGATTAAGTGTGTTTCAATTACCCTTATTAATGACAACACTGAAAAAAATGAGTCATTTCATCACACCTTTTCAAATACGGGCAGGTAGCGCTCTTTTGCTTTGCTCTGAATATTATCAAGTTTAGGTTTGGGGTCTGCAGTGAAGGGGAGCATCATTATCATTTCCATGAGATCAATCAGTCCCTCTGAATACATGTTGATCCTAATGGAGAAGTTTAAATTTGCTGAGTCATACAAAAAACCATAAAAAAAAAAAAAAAAATCCAATTACAGAGCGTACATTGCACGTTCTTTGATGTCTTTTCCATGGAAATTGTACTTTTCTGCGATGTAATGCAGGATCGCTTTTGTCTGTACAAGTTTCATGCCATCGATTTCCACCAGTGGAACCTGTTGAAACAAGAGCGACCCATCTGCAGAGGAAAAAAAGCACCTGGTCAAGCAGAACACCCCTAACAGGAAAAACTAATCCTATACCACACCTTATACAAGGCCTAAAGAGGTCCCACCCATTACTTCTGACACAGTGCTTGAGCAACATATAGGTTAAAGGTAAACAGTTCTGTTTGGAAGAAAAAAATATAGATATTTCTGCAGAAATTATATTTCTGTAATGTGAAACTTTAAACCCACCATTCAGGAGTTTTAGGTACTGTTCTCTGGTCGTCAGAAAATACTCATCAAACTAAAACCACAAAATGAATATAATAATGAGACATATTGCAATATGAAAAGGACAGTAAGTTATTAAATATGATCATCTTGTCAAACCTCCACTTCTGCAACTGTCAGAAGCCAACGGATTGACTCCATTTTTCCTCTTCCATTGAAGTAGTGCAGATTAACCTTTCCAGACATGGCAGCAGTGTTTTGGACCTAAAGTCTGAAAATAGAAAAGAAAAAAAAATTCAATAAGATTTTTTGACTAAAGAAAGTTAAACAGAGGACAATTCTTACATAAGAACGTATCCGTCGGCCAGTGAAGCGGATGTTGAAAGAAGGTTTCTTCTTCTTCTTCTTATTGAGTTTTATTGGCGGTTGGCAAAAAACGTTAGGTGAGCATTACCGCCACCAACTGGTATGGAGTGTGGACTACATGGCAGAGAAAAAAAAAAAAAAAAACTATATCCTATTATACAACCTAATCTGTTTCAAAAATTCAAATATAACCCGATATCCTCTGCTTCCTGATTCTTTCTGCAATAAATCTACAATGTCAAGTTTCATTTTCATGTCACTAAGTTTCCTTATTAACCTGTTTCTCTGTATCGAATATTTACTACAATTTAAAATGACATGTTCCACAGTCTCATCTTCCCCACAGTCACATTTCCCTGTCTGATGTTTCCCTATCAAAAATAACGATCTGTTCAATCCAGTGTGTCCTATTCTAAGTCGAGAAATAATAATCTCTTCTCTCCTGTTCCTTTCTGATCTTCTCATTGGTCCAATTCTCTTTTGTATTTTATAAAGCCACCTTCCTTTCTTTTCTTCATTCCATAACTTTTGCCACCTCTCTTTTGCTTTTTGTTTAATTATACCCTTTATTTCTGTTATACCAAAACTAACATTAATGTCTACCCTTAACTTATTGGTACTCTCCTTAGCCATCCTGTCTGCCCTTTCATTTCCTTTTATCTCGTTATGTGCCGGAACCCACACAAAATGTACCACTAGCCCCATCATATTTATTCTGTAAAGTGTTTGTTGTATTTCAAGTAATATATCTGGTCTACTGACTGACTGATTATTTTGCAAACTGATTAATGACGAACTGGAATCTGAGCAAATGATAGATTTTAATGGTCTTACCTCTTCCACCCATTGAACTGCTAAAAGCAAAGCTAGCATTTCACCGGTATATACTGAAACTCCATCACTAATCCTTTTTCCAACATTAATATGAAACTGTGGTATAATGAATGCTATCCCTACCCTATTAGCTGTATTTTTTGATGCATCTGTATATATTTGTTTATAATTATAATAGTTATTTAAGTGTTCTTGTACTATAAATTTATTCATAATATGATATTTATCTTTTTCCTTCTTTTCTAATAATGAGAGATCAACTTTAGCATCAGGAAGTATCCAAGGTGGAATTGCTGTTATTGGAACTGTCTGACATATAGCTAACTGATTTAAATTAATTTCATTAACTTTAGTGTTTATTACCCATCCAAAGCTCTTTAATTGTTTCTTTTCCTTTTCCCATCCAGGTTTAAGCACCTCTAATGTTGGATGATCCTTCCTTTGTCCCTGTAAATTTGACCAGTAGTTTAAAGATAATTGATCTCTTCTAATTTTAAGTGGCATTTCTCCCATTTCAACCTGTAATGCTGCTGTTGAAGAAGTTCTAAAAGCGCCTGTACATATTCTTAAAGCCTGATGTTGAAGGCTATTTAACTTATGGAGGTTTGTATCTGCTGCTGAGTTATACACTATACATCCATAGTCAAGGACGGACCTGATTAACCCAGTATAAATAGCTTTTAATGATTTTCTATCAGCTCCCCACTCTGTTCCAACTAAACACCTCATTATATTTATTACCTTCCTACATTTATCGATTATATTCTTAATGTGTACACCCCATGTCATTCTTTCATCAAACCACATCCCGAGAAATTTAAATTGTTTGACTCTTTCCAAATCCTGACCATATAATTTTAAGATAGTTTTTTCATCAATTCTTTTCCTTGTAAAAAACATTATTTTAGTTTTCTCTACTGAGAATTTAAAACCCCATTTATATGACCATTTTTCTACAACTGAAATTGCTTCCTGAAGTTTCTTTACAATAAATTCAAAATTTCTTCCTCTTTTCCACATTGCTCCATCATCTGCAAATAATGAGAATCCCATTCCACCCTCTATTTCTTTAAACATATCATTAACTATCACTGAAAATAATAACGGACTTACTATACTTCCCTGTGGTGTTCCATTTTCAATTTTCCAACTCTCAGAATAATCCTCCCCTATCCTCACTTGTATTCTTCGATCTTCTAGAAAATTTTTAATCCATCGAAACATATGACCATTTATACCCATTCTTCTAATTTTAATTAATAACCCTTCCCTCCACATCATGTCATATGCTCTCTCAATGTCAAAAAATACTGCCACAACACTTTCTTTATTCACCTGTGCCTTTCTAATTTCATGCTCTAAACACAAAACTGGATCCATTGTACCTCTACCTCTTCTAAAACCACTTTGATAAGATGATATAAGTCCCTTCTTTTCAATATAATATATTAATCTTTCATTTATCATTCTCTCCATTATTTTACATAAGTTGGATGTTAAAGCTATTGGCCGATAATTTCCTGGTTTTGATTCATCTTTCCCTGGTTTTCTGATTGGAACAATCACGGCCTCCTTCCAACTCTTTGGTAATTCCCCATCTTCCCATATCCTATTATACATTTCTAATAAAATATTTTTTGAAGATTCACTTAAGTTGCTAATCATAACATAATAAATTTGATCTTTTCCTGGAGCTGATAATTTATATTTTTTAAAAGCCCTATTCAGTTCTGTTATTGTAAACAACATGTTCAACGGTTCATTTGTATCTTCTATTTGCTGTAATAAATACTTGTTCTCCAAAATAGTCTTTTCTCTCCCTTTTTTCCCTTCTTGACTAATATTTTCAGAACTATGAATTTTAACAAAGGTATTTACCAACATTTTTGCCTTTTCTCTGTCAGTAACTGCTGTTATTTCTCCTTCATTTAATATTGGATATCCACTCGTTCTTTTAATCCCATTCATCCTTTTAATTGTTGTCCATACCTTAGAAATATCTGTCTCCCTCCCTACTGAATTACAGAAACTCCTCCAATAATCTCTTTTTGCATTTTTAATAATTCTTCTTACATTTGCTTGTAATTTCTTGTAACTATTCAGATTCTGAAAATTGTGATTTCTTTTTAATAATTTGAAAGCTTTATTTCGTTTCTTGATAATCTCTCTACATTCTGATGTCCACCAGGGCACCAACCTTCTTTCCCTTCCCCCACCTGTCTTCCTTATAGCATGATTAGCAGCTTCTAAGATAGCATTACATATAGAAACATTTATTTCATCAATATTACCACTCATATCCACTTTTAACATTTTCATTTCACTACTATTCCTAAAGGTTTTCCAATCTGTTGACCTAAAACACCATTTCTTTATCCCTTTTATACAATACCTTTCTATATTTAACTTTATTTCAATCAAAATAGGATAATGATCACTTCCTATAGTTGTTTTATTGATTATTTGCCATAAACAAACACCTGCTATAGAATTTGAAACTAATGTTAAATCAATTGCTGACTCTGTATTATCTCTAAAATTGATTCTGGTTCCACTTCCATCATTTAAACATACCAAATTTTTAACATCCATTATTTCTTCTATTATATCCCCATTTTGGTCATTATGATTACCCCATAATGTACTATGTCCATTAAAGTCCCCACACCATATAACCTTACCCTCTAAATATACCCCAAGTTCCTCCATTAAATCTATTGAAAGTCTTTTACATGGATTATAGAAGTTGATTATTTTAAATGGCCCATTTACTGTCCAAATTTCAGTAACGATGTATTCTAAATCTTTACCTTTAGCCAGTAATCTAAATTGAATTCCCTGTTTTATGAATGTTATACACCCTCCTCCAGATCCTCCCTCTCTGTCTCTTCTTATGCTTTCATATCCTTTTATAACAAAATCAAGATTTATTTTAAGCCAAGTTTCCTGAATACATATAATATCTAGATCTTCTTTAAATTCTTTAACAAATCCTTTAAACTCTTGTCCGTTTGCAATAAGGCTTCTAGCGTTCCATTGTAAGATGTTCAGATTTTGTCTTCCTGTCCTCCTGCCTTTCCTTCTGCCCCTAGTCTCTTATTTATGTGTTCCCAGGATATGTCCTTTTTACCAAAAAACCTCTCTGCCCCTTTCACAATTATTTAGATTTTTTCTGTTTTTTGTTTAACTTGATCCGTACAATTTATGACATATGCAATGAACAGCAAAATATTTTCAATTGTTAGCACATTTTCCATCCCACTCTGTTTTTGTTCTGGTGTTGGATTTGGCTGAACTTTCTTTATCACTTCTTTTGGCTTCACTCTTTTAGCAGCTTCTGCATAACTTATATTACTAGTGACTTTTGCTTGTTCAATTTCCATTGCTTTTCTTCTGACCTCACATCCCCCATAAGTCACTCTATGTTGCCCTCCACAATTACAACAAGTTTCCTTCCCATTTTCACATTCATCATAGCTATGTTCTCCTCCACACTTTGGACATCTTTGTTTTCCCCTACATGCTGCAGCGATGTGTCCATTAGAGGTGGGCGGATCGATCCCAGGATCGATACTATCGATACCAACGCTGGTATTTATATTGAACAATATTCGTTTAACAAGATCGATACTTTTTATCCTCTCTCGCGCGCGCTGACTGCTGCGGAGTCACCAGTTTCCCCATATGTGTAACAGCACTTTGCTCCCCCTCCCCTCTCCTACAGTCACATGGCTCAGCGGCGCCAGCCAATCAGCGCGCAGGCTTAGCTTGGCCTGCCCACTCAGCACTACGTCACACAGACAACCGCGCTGCCGGTTGCTGGGTGAGTGCTCACTCAGACTTGGATGGAGAGAGAGACCAAAGACCCGCCTCCAGCCTCAGACAGACACCTTTGACCCAAGCGTTTCAGTCCTCCAGAGAATATCCAGGTAGATAACAGTGGTCATCGTCTGCAGCACTTCATTATACATCATATATTACTCAGAAAGTGTAGTTAAGACCTTGAAAAAACCCAGTACATTTATCCCATTAAAAAATTGTTAGCTAAAATAAGCTAACATTAGATAATCTCTTATTTATTCCACGATTGAGAACTTTATAGAAAAAAAGCAACAGGCAAGTGCAGCTTAAATGTAAAAAGTATCGGTATCGATATCGGCGATACTGACCCAGTATTTACTTGGTATCGGATCGATTAAAAAATCCCAGTATCGCCCACCTCTAGTGTCCATATCTCTGGCATTTATAACACCTGAGAGGCGGAGGGATATATGGCCTTACAGGAAAGCACATACACCCAACTTTTACTCTTTCAGGAAGAACATTTGTTTGAAACTCCAACATTACAGAGAGACTTTCCACTCTTTCACCTTCAACTGTTCTCATCAATCTTTTAATTTTGCTTACTTTTCCTCCATAAATGCTGCATCGGAACTTTTCCAGATCTTCCTCCACCGGAATACCTGTTATCACCCCTCTTACTACTTTATCCTCTCCCACAATCTTAACCTGTGTAATATTTTTTTACCAAATACTCTGGGCGCTCATTACTTTTTTCTTCTGTTCTTCATTTCTTACTGTAACCAACAGATTTCCATCTCTAAGGATCTTAGCAAATGTTATCTCTCCAAACTTCTTTTTTAACTCTTTCGACAGAGCTAATGGACTGAGATGAATACCTTCATCCTCCTTCCTAAACTTTATTATTAGTTTAGCTTCCTCACAAACAATCCTCTTGCAAACTGCATTATTTTCATCCGAACTGTTTCCTTCAAGACTCCGTTTGCTACTTTGTCTCTCTGACACATTCCCTTCTCTTCTCTCTCTTCCTGACCCTTTACTACCACTCACAGGAGTCCAACCAACTAAATCCATCTCATCATCTCCTTCATCCTCACCCTGAGACGCCATAGCAGTCCAGTCACAAACCAGTTTATGCCAGCCGCCAACGTTCAGTCCTTCTCCCGCCTTGCCTTTCTCCTCCAAAGCCCAAAACCGATTTTGTTGTCGAATCGACCCACCAACCTTCCGAGCCACGGCTGCGTCTCAATTCGCAGCAAAGAAGGTTTCTATAAAGTTGGCTTCTATATATGCAGAAGCAGAAAAACACACAAAAAAAACAAGGCGTGTAAAAAAAAAAAAAAAAAAAACTTTAAACCCTGTCATTGGTAGAGGGGAACCGATAGGTGGGCTCAATTCACGTGATATTGATGACGCACATTTCAGAGAGATAACCGGAAGTAAGCAAATAAGAGTCGCAGAGAGCCAGTATCGTAGGGATTTGGATCCAAAAAACAAAATGAAAAAAATAAATATCGTTTATTTCAGTGGACACACATAAAAAAAAAACAAAAACAACTTCATTTTTGCTTCGGTCTTAATAGTGGGTCTGTAACCACTCCTGCAGTGATGAGAAAATAAAATCTAAATAACTAAAAACAGTTTTGTAAAACTGTGTCTATTCACTTAACTCAAAAGTAAAATATAAGATTAATTTTACACATAAGTAAACATAAGCCTATAGCCTATTCATATGATATATTTTTAAGATTATTTGACAAAAACCACACCGCTCTCACAATAAAGCCGCGTTTATCAGCTTCCGTGTAGCTTCCTGGTATCACATGGCAAATTTACATATTTCTGCAAGGTACTATGGGAACTGTAAATTTTTTACTATTTTCAGCCATTATATTCAAATAAATACAAATAAAAACGTTTGGATCTACTATCTTAATATATCAGTCAGTTAAGAGTTGCTGCAATTAAGATTCTGCATCATGCATGTTTGACGTAATGAAACCGTTATAGAATATTCTACGTCTCAGTCGGGTATAAATAAACAGTGAGGCATGTTTTCTTTTCGGATGTGAGGGCGATCTGGCTGCGACATCTGTCACCCCATTGATCGCTAGGGTTGATTCGGCTGATCTGGCTGGCTAGGCGGGTGTCCCCTTCCTCCCTCACTGCTCCATATGTGTCCCTCCCGAAGCTCTGCGCTCGGTGGCAGCGGACGACGTCCCCCCGCGGCGGACAACCATCCCTCGGTGTACCAGTAGCTGCGCTCCCCTGCTAGAACCTCCAAACAAGCTCAAGGCCAAAAGGAGAAACGTAGGGAAGTCAAGCTCCAAGCTTCAGACACATCCAATTGCGGCGCTGCACGTGGCAGTCTGCCTTACTTTTTAATTATTATTCATTTGAATCATTTATTTATTTGATTTATATAAAATAATGACCCATGTAGGCTTATGTAAGAAGTCCTAGTTGAAGTAACAGTTAAAAGCACCAATAAATAGATTTACCTGACCTACATGAATTCCTCACTGAGTATTTAAATGCGCACCCAGATACACCGTGTGGACAACAAAATGAAAAAAAGTATAATGAATAACAATTTGCATATTCAATGAAAATAACACAATTACATCACATAAAATATTTTATTTTATACTTAAAAACCTAAAACCAGGAAATCAGTACTGCATAATGTTGAATATGTAATTTTAGCAACAGCGAAACTATTAAGATTTCTTTACTAGCCTAGCAGGCTCACAATTACTGGCAGAAAAATATAACATGTTTAAGGCAGATACATTTAACATGTTTAAGGGCTGTAGAGACCATAGTTGTGTCCAAATGTGCCCCCTATATAGGACACTATATAATGGTTTCGCCATTTTAGATTGGTGTCAGAACATCCGCCCTAACCCATAAATTACTCAATCACTATATAGAGCAGGGACTATATAGTGGAATTTAGAGTGAACTCAGTTAACTCACCGTTCGGACAGATGACCACTTTTGCTCCTTGTTGGTTACGTGAATCCGTCATTTGTTTTCTGCTAAAAAGCTAACATTGTGGTTACTTAATTGAAGTCCCCTTAGGCCTCTGCTCCCTTGGCTAAACAAATACATCAGTTCCCTTAAACTACTCAATTTAAAATGCAAAGTATTGTCAGAGGGTTACAAATAAACATGCCAGTGAAAACAGAAACAGCATGTTCCACCATGTACGTATTTCTCCATTTAGTAAATGCACCCGCATGAATCTTTGGAATTTTCTACATTTTTTAGAGTGCGATTAAGCTGCTGTAACAATGCAACAAGAGGAATGAATTTTTAAGCATTTTTCCCTTTTTTTTTTAACATATTTTTACAGAGTGCCATTAAATGTTACCCACCCTGTATTAACAGTGCTGCAGCCTGTTAATAGCACCAATAAACAGATTTACCTGACCTACCGGTACATGAATTCCTCACTGGGTATTTAAATGCTCACCCAGATGAACCACATGGACAACAAAATGATAAAAAAAAAAGTATAATGAAAAACAATTTGCATATTTAATGAAAATGACACCATTACATCACATAAAAAATGTATTTTATACTTAAATACCTGAAACCAAGAAATCAGTAATGCATAATAATATTTTAATGTTGAACATATCATTTTAACAACAGCGAAACTATCAACATTTCTTTATAGGAGACAAGTATACACAAAAAGTTGACTGGCAAGAAGGCAGAGGCCACTATCGGTGTCCGTATTTGGCAGACCAGTCTGTTCGGCCATGGATGCTCTGCAGCGGAGGGCGAGGAAGCAGACCCGGCGTGCTTTTGTTGGCTGCGGGTACATCACTGGAGGGGTTCATCTGACTCCGACCAGACCGCCATGTTGCATAATCTAGAACCGTGATAAGGTAAAAATCATCAGGTTGTCTTATTCAATATAAGGTGTATTTTATCTGGGTTACAGTTATGTGCATTATTTTTTTTCCCAGGAAAGTTTCTATAAACGTTGATCTGAGAAAACTCACTTGATGCTGTTGCTTCCAGAGATGCACTCTGCCTCCCTCTGTGACCAGCAGAGCCAGTGTCTTTCTTGTAAAATGATGGCATGTATCCACCGGGGATAGTGTTTGTACCTGAGGATGAAAGAGAAATGGATACCAACTCAGTGGTGAGCAGCTTTGAGTCTACAAACGGCAGCGGTTAGACTGGAGGCTTTACCGTGTGCTCCTCTGCTTGGCAGAGTTCCTCCAAAAGGAATACTGCTGCCACCCCAAAGATGGCTTCCAGTCAAATCCTTACTGGCATCGATGGTCACGCTCCTCTTTGTACTTATGCCTGAGGGAAACAATTAAGGATTATTGCAAAGAAAAATAAAAAGTCTTAAAAATAAAATGATTTTATTTAAGAGCATTATGAATTAAATATTTAGACCAATGTGGGGTAAACTCCTCCCCAAAACTGTAGGTTAACTTAAAAAGTTGTGAACCAAAAAGCTTGCATTTAGCTTACAAACAAGATCAATACTAGCTGTATTTGTCTGCTCTTCAAGTGCTTGTTTGCACCTTTACAGACCCTTTTTTTAATCAAATATGTCATCAGCTACCAGCCATACCAGCAGGCCTGTATCTTACCAGGTAGAAATCTGGACTGCCTCTGGTAGTGCTGCTTGGCGGAGGCGGTTCTCAGTGGCTCCTGATAGGCTGCAGTCTTGTTTAGGTTCAAAGGTGTGTCTTCTTTTCCACTGGGTCGACTGTAATCCAGAACATTCCCAAACCTGTCAGAGGGAAGAGTGACCCGGAGCAGAGTTACCCTTCATGTTTCTTACTCATGACCAGGAAATCCTGACTCCATTCTCACCTGCTCAGAGCGTCCTCTCCCTGCCTTCGCTTTTCAGAAGAAAAGTTATTTTTTCCACGAAGGCTCAAGGAAGACAGGTCGCTCTCTTCATAGTTGTCCCAGTCTTCCCCTTTGCTGTGCCCCCACCGCCGCCGCCCTCCCCCTTTAGGTTTCACCTGATAATTAAGAGGGCTTGGCTCCTGCTCCCTTGGCTAAATACACAGATATCAACAAAATATCAGGACAAGCCTGGCACACCATCAGATCTATGGTGCTTTCATCTCACCTTGTTTTGCAGACTCTTATCAACAATATAAGGAAGGTGACTCTGTGGAATTCCTGCCGTCTGCTCCTGCTTAACGATGTGCTTTGGCTGCTGCTCCCGAACCAGCCCCGTGTGCCGCTGGTACGCTGCTGATGCCGGGGACGGCTGGAGAGGCCTGGGAGGGGTGCACTGCTGGCTAGGAGGCGGAGGCTGGGCAGGAGGCATCGGCCTCAACAAGAGTAGAGGCTGTTGCTGCTGCTGCAGGGTCTGCTGTGACAGCAAAGGAGGCTGCAGCTGCACAAGACCTGGCTGAGGTCTGCTCTGCTCCAGGATCTGTTGAGGGGTGCCCAGAACTTGGCCCATGTGGAAATACGAGTACCTGAGGGCCTGAGAGGAGATTAAACACACAGCTTTTTTTTTTCCTTCCCTCTGTTCGTCAGCAGGAAATCAAGCTGTTCAGCAGATGCTACCTGAGCAGAAGCTGGCCTGTTCTTTGGGTCCCACTGAAGGAGGTCTGTCATGAGATGGATGGCGTCAGGACTGGCATTGGGAATCAGTGTCTTCAGATTAGTGGGAACGCACTGAGGCCAGCGGAAGTTCATGGCGTTCGCCAGCTGGTGTCCCTCCGGCCAATCAGTCTACAGGGAAACACGGATTTATGACAACTAAAAAAAAAACAATATGGTTACAATTGTTTTTGGAAGTGACGATTTAAAAGGAAGTCCTTTCAGAAAGGATTGTGTCTTTACTATAGATGGATGAATGGATTCAGTTATCTAAAACCTTGCTTCCTTTATATTACCTTCTTTGGCGTACCCAAGACTTGGCAGATCTTAGATATTGTGTCCACTTCACTCGATCCTGGGAACAGAGGTCTGAGCGTGTAAAGCTCAGCCATAATGCAGCCCACTGCCCACTGGTCGATGGGTGAATTGTAGGATGTGGACCTGAGGAGCACCTCTGGAGCTCGGTACCTGGGTAAAACAGCATGGCCTTTACAGCTCTGAAATCCATGCTCTTTCAGTGGAACAACGGCTGCATTTGAACTCACCATCGAGTTGAGACGTAGTCTGTGTAAGGGGGTCGAGATCTGATTTCCCGGGCAAGCCCAAAGTCGGCTATCTTCACCAGCTCCGGACCCATGCAGAGGAGATTTTCTGGTTTCATGTCTCTATGGAAAAACCCTGCCAGACAGAGCAGAGGCAGAAATTCCACCTTAACAGGAAAAAAATTGTTTACAACTTTCAATTAAAAAGCAGAATGGGATTTCAAAGGCCTACCATGCTTATGAATGAATGCAAGTCCCTGCAGGATCTGAAACATTATATTTCTCACAGCTGATTCGGGGAACAAACGTGTCCTGCAGTAAAAACACAAGTGAAAAAAGAAAAAGTTAAGAAAACGTTAAAATCTACACACCTTAAATCTTTAGATTCATATCAAAAAAGAAAGAAAAGCCCTCCCTCACCGGTCTTTCATCAGCTGATATAAATTTTCCTTCATGTACTCAAAGATGAAATACAGGTGATCGTTTTCCCGAATGACCTCCTTAAGTTTGATCACATTCGCATGGTTGAGTTTCTTTAGGGACTGGAAATATAAACATATACATGTTAGAAAAAAAACTAATGTGCACATGAAGATGAAACTAAACATTAAATCTAAACATGCGGGAAAATGCAAATGGATATATTGCAGCACATTCAGAATGACTGCTCTCCTTTATGAAATGTGAGCAAAGTAAGAACGCTGTGTCAATCTATAAATCACTGCTGAAGGGGACTTCTGCCTAAAATTCAAAAAAGGAAAATCATATATAGACCAAGTTCAAAGCAGGACGAAAGCACTGGGTTAAAAACTCAATAAAATATGCTAAACATGCTACGCTTTAGGAAGGAGGGGAAAGCTAAAGGCGGGTCTTAAAGGGACATGCTAGAACTTGTGATCTACAGAGCTGTGTTTTCCTGTCTTTGTTTTTGATTTGCTGTGCTACGGACGGGGCAGCAGATTGTGTAGATCTACCGAAATCACCTGCTGCTCTGAGAGCTGGGTGAAGAAATATGACCTCTGACATTTTGAACTAGTATAGAAACAAAACAAAAGAAAGTCTGCATAAGAGAATAAACAGTGAATCGCCTTGTTTAATGCATCAACCTTACAGTGAAAACGTGTACGACTCACTGTGTTTTGCATCTGCAGTTCTCAGCTTTGTGAAATAGTCTATCCTTCTAGGTGGTTTTGTTGTTGTCTTTTTTTTTTTTTTAAAGATTATTTTATCCTTTTCAAAACAAAAATCTTTGAATTCAAGCCCCAATCTTCAACCGTTTCTTGAGAAGACCCTTCTGGTTTCACATTTATAAAATTCAACTGCAGTTAGTATTTTAGCCGACAACTTAAAGGCTTGTTTTAAATTAAGTTTTTTAAATATATCCTATAATAGCAATGTTAAAAATGAGTTTAACATTTTGGCTTAAACATAAAAAGAACCCTTCCTTGCAGTAACTATGTAATTGCCAATAAAAAAAAGGTTTAACACAACTAATTACCAAAGAACTTCACCCTCAGGCTTCTATATGAAGCCTTTATTCTGCAATCCTTGTTGCTGTATATCAGTACCAGTTATGTTCATTTATCTCATAGCAGAAACTTAACTGTTTGCTCTTCAGAAAAGAAATAAGTGTCTGAGATTTAAAGATACCTTGACTTCTCTAAGGTTCATACATTCCTCCCAGGAGTAAAATTTCCGTTTCATTCTGAAATAATAAAAAAAAAAGTTGTTGTTTTAATATCATCTCAACAGTGAAATACTTTGCATTTTTATTTAATAAAACATAAGTTAGAAAGGTAATTGAAAAGAAAGTTCCTCAAAAAAAGAAATCCACAATTCTCCAGATTCTCACTTCTTTATGGCAACAAGTTCCCCCGACTCCAGACTGCGACCGAGGATGACAGATCCATAGGTGCCATCGCCAAGCTGTCTAATTGTGGTGTATCTATTCATTGTGCTTGTCCTCCCATGCTATCCTTAGAGGGGTTGGGTGTACGGCACAGAATATTTAGGAGGAAAAGCCGTGCTGTTCCCCTTCTACTGCTGAAAGCAACCAGATTTTTCTGTGAAAGCAGCAGAAGATGCCTCTCTGAGCTGGAGGCTGGAATTCCTCACCTTGGAGCTGAAAAGCACAGGGGAAAAAAAGAGACACGCAAAGCTATTTATCATGTAACTTAAATTACATATATTTTTAGACAGATTAGATTAAAGAAGAAAAATGCACATTTTAAAGATATACTGTATTGTAGATGCAGACAGTGTATTACAAGAGGGTTTAAACTCGTAATTTTTCCATTAAAACCAGTTTTTAATATGAAAGACTATCACACTGCATCGCATATTTAGAAAGAGGAGGAGAAACAATACAGGGTTTCCAAAATTGTTTCATTAAAAACATTAAAAAATAATTTTTGTCAAACTTCTTTTTCAGTTTGCATCAATGATCTGGTTTGTACATCGAGAAAGAGAAATGTTTGTCCTTCATTCATGGAAAATTAAATTAAAACTCAATCAGACTGGACTGGAGAATGTCTAAAGACATGAATTTTAAAATTCAGTTATATATTCTATATGTAATTTTAGTCTGGACATTGATTAGGCCATTCTTAGACTTAGACTTAGACTTCTTTATTTGTCATTTTGTATGCACAGGGTGCATACAGAACGAAATTGCGTTACATACAGCTTATGAACGTTGCATTGATATTTCAAATGGCACGAGTTATAGAAAAATACAAAAAGTGCAGCAGTGGTCAAAGTGTGAACAGTGCAGAGATAAGAGACAGTGTGCAAGTTGCAGTGGTTCAGTGCAAAATGGCATTTGTGCAAAAAATGCGTTATTGAAAAATACAATGAGATGAACACTTTAAAGGGCTAAAAGTTAAAAGTTCAGCAGCATTTGATGCCCGATAATGTGCAATAGGTGCAGAGTTCGGATTGTGGATCAAAGGTTCAACAGTCTGATGGCAGTGGGGAAGAAGCTGTTGCACAACCTGGTGGATCTGCAGCGGATGCTGCGGAACCTCTTTCCAGAGGGCAGCAGGGAGAACAGTCCATGGTGGGGGTGTGAGGGGTCTTTGATGATATTACGGGCTCGGGACACACAGCGCTGTGATGAAATGTCCTTAATGGAGGGAAGAGGAGCCCCAATGATTCCTTCCGCTGTCCTCACCACCCTCCTCACATTCTTCCAGTCAGAAGCTCTGCAGCCTCCACACCACAGAGAGAGACAGCTGGTCAGAATGCTCTCTATGGTGCTTCTGTAGAAGGTTGTGAGGATGGGCGGGGGCAGGCGGGCTCTCCTCATCCTCCGCAGAAAGTACAAGCGCTTCTGTGCCCTCTTCACTAGAGATGAAGTGTTTACAGTCCAGGTGAGGTTGTCCGTGATGTGCACCCCCAGGAACTTTGTGCTGCTGACCACCTCCACAGCTGAGCTGTTGATGAGCAGTGGAGCATGGTGGGGGCGGTTTTTCCTGAAGTCGACGATGATCTCCTTCGTCTTCTCCACGTTCAGGATCAGACTGTTTTCACTGCACCAGTCCACCAGCTGCTCCACCTCCTCTCTGTAGTCCCGGTCGTTGTCGTCCCTGATGAGGCCCACCACCGTGGTGTCGTCCGCAAACTTCACGATGTGATTGGTGGTGAACCTGGGGACGCAGTCATATGTCATCAGGGTGAACAGCAGGGGGCTCAGGACGCAGCCCTGAGGGGAGCCCGTGCTGAGGGTGATGACATCAGAGGTGTTCTGACCGACCCGGACTGACTGAGGTCTGTTGGTGAGGAAGTCCAGCAGCCAGTTTCGAAGGGGTGTGTTGAAGCCCAGATGTTCCAGCTTTCCCACCAGGTGCTGTGGGATGATGGTGTTAAACGCTGAACTGAAGTCCAGGAACAGCATCCGCACGTGGGTGTTCTTCTCCTCCAGGTGGGCCAGGCTCAGGTGAAGAGCAGAGGAGATGGCGTCCTCAGTGGAGCGGTTTCGCCGGTAGGCAAACTGGAACGGGTCGAGTGTTGGGGGGAGACTGGAGACGATGTGTTCCTTTACCAGCCTTTCAAAGCACTTCATCATGATGGGAGTCAGTGCGACGGGCCGGTAGTCGTTGTAGCAGGTGACTTGAGGTTTCTTTGGCACTGGGATGATGGAGGCAGACTTGAAGCATGCTGGCACTGTGGCTTGCTCCAGCGAGGTGTTAAAAATGTCCGTGAGGACACCAGCTAGCTGACCTGCACACTCCTTGAGCACCCGCCCAGGTATGTTGTCGGGACCTGGGGCCTTCCGCGGGTTGACCCTCCTCAGAGTCTTCCACACGTCGGCTGTGTCAAGGCAGAGAACCTCCTCTTCCTGATGTGGGACAGCCTTCACTGCTGGAGTGCGATTTAGTGCCTCAAACCTCCCAAAGAAGTTATTTAGTTATTTTAGTAATTCTGAAGCATAGTGCTTATTTATTTGTTAACGTTGTCACTTATTCTGTTGTTTTTATACACTTTTTAATGTCCACATTGTGTGACTACTTCTGCTATAACCTTATGCTGCTGTAACACCAGAATTTGCCCATTGTGGGACAATAAAGTAATTTTCCATGCTTTTCTATATGTAAATAATGCCACCATAGCTCTGGTTAAAAGAGTGCTGCCCTGCATTTAGCTCCATGCATCCTCCCATCAAAAAGGACAAAAAAAGGACAGATTTGTTAAGTGATCACCCTGATAGTCGTGCAGATAGCACATGTTCCTACCTGAGCTGTCAATCTGTGCACAGCTCCTATATATGCAAATTTAAGAGAATTTCTGTCACTGGAGTTTAATAAGTAAAATGGATTTTTATATTACACTGCAAATTCCCACTATTCCACGCTTTACAACGATTTTTAATTATTATTTACCGACACAGAATATGGAAACGTTCAAAGGGTTTGCATAAGATATGATTCACCAGATTATTACGGGATTTGTAATAACAAAGGTGTTAACTTTTAACCGTTCCTTTAGATTAATCAGGGTTTTTCTTAATTTGTTTACCATCTACAGATATATTTGTAGAAACGGCAGTTTAAGCGTACCACGCTGCTAGTGTTTTGGGTTAAAGTTACAATGTTAAATGGGGCTAACGTGAAAAAATCGATTATTTTCCTCCCGTCTTCAGTGCCCAACAACGGGCCACTTTGACTCCAAATCACATGAGACCGAAGAAAACTCACCCTCCCCGTTGCAAAACGACGACAACACATAACCAAAAAATGCAGTCAATGTTTAACTAATCGCTCAAGTCTCCATTTTTTTTCTTTTTTCCCTTTGCCAATATACAGTTAAACGATAACCACCATCCTCTTAGCGAGATTTAACCCTCGGCTAGGCTATCTAAATAGAGTCCTCCATAATCTCGCGATAATACCAGAATATCTCCTGGCAACAAATCTCAGCCTCTCCTCTCCGCCTCAACCAATAGAAAACAAATATGTTTAGCTTTATCATGTGAACTTAGAATGATTGTGATTTATGTTAACTGTTTTTAAAAAATCGGAAACCAGTTAAAACGAAACAAATACTTTTAAACTCAGGTTTTCTTACACTGAGATAAACATATAATTTACATATGATGGGAAGTTAATACATGGTTTTAATTTATTAGAAAATAAAAGAAATATATATATTTTTTGTTTGTTTGTTTGTTTGTTTTTACTGTTAAGATGAATCATTATTTTGAAATTCAACCTGCAAGAAATGTATTTGATGAAATATCTACCATGTAGAAAAATTAATATCTGTGTTATATTTACTGTCTGCATTCATTAAGCAGCTTTGTACGGAAGAGGATTAGGGCAACTGAAACATTTTTTTAAAAAAAGCTAACTGATTTTAAAATTTTACTTCAGTTTATTATGGGAAAAACGTCAGGTTTCTGACTTTAATCACAGAATTCTGACTTTAATCTCAGAATTCTGACTTTTCCTCAGATTTCTGACTTTAAACCCAGAATTCTAACTTTTTCTCTCAGAATTTTGACTTTTTCTCTCAGAATTTTGACTTTTTCTCTCAGAATTCTGACTTTTTTCTCAGAATTCTGACTTTTTTTCCTCAGAATTCTGACTTTAATCTCAGAATTCTGACTTTAATCTCAGAACTGACTTTTTTTTCTCTCAGAATTCTAACTTTTTCCCATATTGAACTGAAATACTGGTAAAATGTAAAAAATAGTTAACTTTTTTTATTTATTGTTTTCAGTGGCCCTAATCCTCCTCTGTAGCTTTGATATATAAAAAGAGAAGTTTAAAAATAATACATTCCATACATAAGTAGAAATGGATAATGTATATCCTTCAATATATTCAAATATAGGTTTTGGGTAAATAAATAAATGTACATGTATAAAATGTGATTTCTATATCTGGTTAAAATTGAAAGCTCTGATTTAAGAGTTGTAAAATAGATTACCATCTCACCATGTGTTTTGGTTTTCTGTTGAGAGTTGTGATACTTAAATAGTCTAAAAGATACATGACATAAAGATTTAAAAATAAAAGTTAATGTGTGTTTTTAGGATGCAGTAGCTTGAGGAATTACATTTTACTCCATGGTTTAATGTATTTTGGCCCTGAATGGTGTTTGGCTTGAGTTCTTCTGTTTCCCACCACCTGTATTGGGCATTTCAGGAATGATCTGGTCTTCTTCAACAACTTCTCAAGTTTCCTCTTAACTGTTGATAACTGTTACTCCCTCAGATCACACCTGAAGGCATAAATGAAGCCATAAAAAAGTCCAAAAGGTTATTACTGTGCGTGTGCTCAACTCCAAAAGACCAAAGTCTCTGTAGATAGAGTCTGATCTGATTCTCAAAAAAAGAAAGTATATATCCAGTGTTGTGTACCCAGTGCAGTTATTTGTTAATGCTACATATAATTAATTTGTATTCCAATGACCACCTAAATACTGAAACCCATATGGCACATTACATTACAACTTTTTCACATTCTTTGTAAGCTGGCGAAGATTCTCAGTCATCCAGGTCATACTCATTACATAAAAAAAAAAAAAAAACAATCCACCCCCTCTGTTTAAGGCAGGTTTTTATTTCTTAACCTGCACCTTTGGAGAGGTTGTTTAGTTTCTCCAAAATAAAGATCAGAGCATTCCTCCTCGGAACAAGAGTCAGCGGTACATCTATACCTTATGGACAAAGGACATTCTTTTGAGGACCAGAATGTTCACATTTTTGACAAAGAAGATAGGTGGCTTGAGAGGGGCATAAAGAAAGCTGTCTATGTAAAGAAAGAAAAAACAATCTTAAACAGAGGGGGTGGACTCAGATTCCAGCTTTCAAAAACCTACAATGCGGTGATAGAGTTGATTCGTTCCCGCAATTATCGCAACCCCCATCCCCTTACAGAGGAACAGAACACCTTGCCTGTTTAACCCCCTTTCAGAGACATAGACCAGTACCAGGTATTGCAGGCTAACAAATATCCAAAAACGGCCCCTATTCCAAATGGGCAAATCTGTTCGTCAAGATTTGCATGTTTTCTAACCCAAAGGCTTTGTTTTTGGTCCACTCTATATAACCTCGAACTCAATGCTATTTCTGACATTTGCAATTGAAAAAGCTTCCTGGATGGAAAACAAAACGTCTTCAAACTTGGAAATAATGTCCAGTGGATTGTTTTGTTACTTTTTTGGAATTATTTGTACGCACTGTCACTGATCAGCATTTAAAATTATCATGCACAACCTTTCAATCAATTCTCAAACCAATATTTACGGTACATAGAATAAGAGGTAAGTAGAGAGTAATACTGCGTTACAATAACTTGAGTAAATGCTTTAAAATACTGTCCTTTTATGATTGATTGGGGGGCATTTAATTGTATGCTTATTTATTTATTGAGCATTTATTTATTTCTGTATTTATTATATAAATATTGCAGAGTGGGTCCTCGATACAAACAAGGTTATTTGAAACAAAAATACACATGCAGTTTATATTATTTGATTTATATTCACTATTTGAGTCAATAGATGGAAATATTTTATTTTTAGTTACATACAATGAAACAGAGGCATAGCCAGAAATTTTTATAAGGGTGGCCAGGCATTAACCAATATACACTGAGGGGTGGCCTAAAGTGTATAGGCACCAGAACCTCTACATCAATCTACACTGTTGGAAAATTAACGAGCATCCATATTTTCTAAATAAAGACAAACTATACTTTCCTACAGCCTTTGCTAACAAATCGATGCATATATTTAAACAGCCGTAATTTCTAGATAAAAGGTATAGTGGTTAAACTTTGTTTTGAGTTCTGGGGCATAATTTTTTTCCATTGGCATTACTTTCCTACTTGTATTAATAATCATTCTGCATAAAATTTACAAGCACTAATATATACATAAATTGATTATTTAATCAGTTTTAATTAAATTTGTTATTTATCAATGATTTCACTGAAGACTCCTAGATGACTTGCAGAGACACATTTTCTCTTTACCCCATAAAACACAAAATCTAGTTCTGAAAAGAGCATGAATTCTGTACTTATCATCTTAGATGTTAGTATATCGATGTGTATAATTAACCACAAACAAATAAAATGTTTTGAATATTCCACTTGAGTGTATTACTGCTGCCACCAACTTTATTAGAGGGGGAAAAAATGGTAGCCACAGGGGTGACCAATGCTTGCCCCCCATCTAGCTCCGCCCCTGCAATGAAAAGTAAGTAGTGCTTGTCTTACTTTACTGCAAGTTTTGGGTTCTCTACTGTCATCTGCATAGAATTAAGAAACATTAAGATTTATTTACTTTTTATTTTATTTTATTTTTTTTACTGTTGTGGCATTATTTACTCTTGGAATTAATCTGTCTGATTTTTTTTTTCCCTTTTATTAAAATTAATAAAAATAGAGAAATGCCATTTATTTTAAGGATAATAAAAAATAGGACCGCAAATGGCATCAGCCGAATTAAAAGACCCATTAATGAGCTCTTGTATGTTTTATTTGATTAAAGCATATTTTTTTTATCTCCTTGATGCACCTTTTGGACTCAGTTATAGGTCAAATGAAATCTGCTAAGGGATGAGCTTGGTATTTGGCTTTAAAAGGGCATGTAAACAGCTTCAAGCTCATCCAGGGGGAACCTATGTTGTCTTCCCTCTTTCAGCGCACTTCCGCAAGTGTTTGACACCGAGGCTCCGGGGCCGCTCAGCAAGATGGCTGCGTTCCTGCGAGCTCGTAAATATGTCCGCTGTGTGGTCCGTTTCTCCGACCGTGAACTGTAAACGGGACCAGTGAGTGAGCACCAGCGAAGATAAAAAGGAGACCTACAGGGCCAAGTGTCATGGTGGGTCTCGTCGTTTTATACGTTTTACTTTGCGGAAGAACGCAGACGGTTTAGTGCTCGGTAGCTAACAATGCTAACAGTAGCATCACCTGGTTAGGTTACCTGTTTAGCTATCAAGTATTTGCACAGACCAGCCAGTAAACAACAGCTGTTATTTAAGAGGTTACTAAAATGCAAAAGAAAAGCGCCCCTCATTCACCAATCTAATATTAACATCAGCTTTTAGTGAACAACACCGTGTTGAACCAGAAATTGTAACACGAACAGATGGAGGACGTGTAACAGATTTTCATTTTAGTGTAACTTCATATGAAAATTTTCTTTAACATTTTTTTGACCCTTAAACCAATATTTTCCATATTCAAACTAACAGTTTGTAATTTTAAGTTAATGTAATGTTCCTATATCTGAATATATTCTGTCCACACACCATTATAAAATGTTCAACTGCCAGTATGACATCATATAGACCCTAACATTTGATTGGTCAACCTGCACAGCAACGGACCAATCAGGCGGTCTCTTATAGAGTTATTTTTTGTATTCCTATTATAAGGACTGGCATTTAAATGCAGCTATAAATATAGTAATACACTTGTTTTTATCATATTTAGTAAGTAAACATTGAAATAAATAATTATGTTTGTTTATTAAATGCATAAAAAAAATGCTATAATTTAACATTAAAGCTAGTTTTCTATTTCCTCATTAAATAATTTAAACGGTGACTCATCGAATAGACCTTAATATCTCGCCGGCTAATGTACACGCTAACTTAGCCACAGACCAATTGCCTGGTCTGTTGCAACACTCTTGTGCCCTGAACAGATATTTTTGTTGTGTAATGCTGAAATTATGTGAGTTATACTTTTTAGGATATTTAGATAATTATAAATACAAAATTACATGCGTTTCAAGCCTAATTAAAACAATCACTCGGGCAAATATTTATTTAATGATGAGGTAGCTTAATAAAACTTTAATTACAGACATGGTAATAATATTGCAGCTTTGAGCATTCCCTGATGCTGGACCCAATACTTTTATACATACTTTTAGTATTTATTTTGAAGTGTAGCACGATAAAAAAGGCTTGATCACGTGATGTCACCGAATAAGAGAATATTCCATCTATATTCCAATACTTTTTTTTTTTTGGTTGATTTTGGGCCGATTTCTGATATCAGTCCTAGATCAGGACATCCTTATTTAAGGTCTCACTTGTTTATTGGATTGTGACACTTTTGACCCTTATGTGTTTTGTGGATATACCACTTAATAAAGGACAGTGGAAAGAGTATAGAAATTAAGCAAAAATAATTAAAGTATCATAGACAGATTCCACAAATAAAAGCAAATGTTACAAATATTTGCCCTTGACTTTATGTTTGACAAAGTGTTGCACACTTTTGTTGTTTTTTATTTTGAAAGTCCTTCTCTACTGCATACATGCATTTCCTTTGAGAACTGTCATAAGAAAATTCACTAGATAACACCAATAAGGCCAAATCAAGCCTTGGAGAAATTAAAGTTAGAAAACCAAGAACATTTGTGGTAATTTAATGGATTAAAACTTAATACTCTGAGGGAAACAAGGCTGGACTATATTTTTATTCCAGGCTGAGCTCATTGGTATTGAGTAAGAATAATCCACTTATTTTCCTCTACAAGGCATTGTTGTATTAATAGCTGTTAGTGACCAAACATTGTAATTGTGACATTTTTTTACTGTATTGTCCCTTTTTTTTCTTCTGTAAAGGCTGATGAAAATACTGATATTGGAGGTACATTAGAGGATGAAGATGAGGGTGTGGATGACCCAAACCTTCAGGTGAGGAAACAAGAAAAGAAAGCCAAAGTCATGTTTTATATTTATTATTTAAATTCGAATGAGGAGTCTAAATAAAATCTGTTTTATTTAACTGCTGCTTAAAACGAGAAAGGACTCCCCTCCCGCCCAAAAAACAAAAAAGCGATATTCCTAGTTTAGTCGTCTGATGTTGGCTGTGAACGCTGTCTGCAGTTGGAGCTTAATGCGTTCAGAGCTCAGTGGATGTCTGAACTCAAACCAAGCTCTGGTGCGAGTCAAACAAGTGACCGGCTGCAGAGGGCAAGAGGCGTGAAGAGGACTCAAGACATTGCCCGGGAGGAAAAAGTGAGCTTAATCACTATTATGTGTGTGTTTGTCTAGGGGGGCCCACAGTTTTCTCTGCAGTAAAGTTCATGCTAATTGTCTAACAGCATTAATCTCCCCTCAGGCTGCAGAGCTGTTTCTGAGAGCTGTTCAGGAGGAGCAGAATGGAGCCGTCTATGAAGGTCAGTAGAATAGAGGGTGGTCAGCATGGTCTAGATGCTACTGCTTTCTTATTTTGAAAGCATATATTATTTCTGCTGTAACTAAGATTTTTCTAGTTCCCACTCATTCTGTCTGAGCTGTGAATTAGAATTTAAATAAGATTAAGTAATGCTTCATTTTTTTCAGTGTCTAATTAGACGTTTTTACTTGCAGCTATCAAGTTCTATCGCATGGCTATGCAGCTTGTTCCTGATATTGAGTTTAAAATCAACTACAGCCGTCCCCCTGACGCAGACAGAGGTGGAGGAAATTAGTAAGTGACTCTTAAGTTGCTACATTTTTACACCTGAACAGCGTCACAGCAGCCATAAATAATCCAAATGATATCACTGCGTTAGCTCACCTAAAGAACACAGTTTCTCTCCTTTCGATAAAAAAATCAGCCATTATTTCACATATTTGTAATTTTTTTTTTCTTCTTTAGCATGGAGGACAGTGACACTGATGGTGAGATTGAGGATCTGCTTGCCTATTTTGAGCAGCAGCTTACTCTGGAGAGCTCCTTCCCAAAGATATGCGCTTATGAGCTTGAAGTAACTCAAACGCACATTTCAGGTAGAAATCTGTCCCTGAATCTTGTTTAACCCAATCTGTCCTTATGTATACATCTGTACTTAAAAATATTCTGTCTACTTGCAGCCTTGCCACGGGAAATCCTGATGTACATATTTCGCTGGGTTGTGTCGAGCGAACTGGACATGCGGGCACTGGAGCAGCTTTCTTTGGTCTGCCGTGGGTTTTACATCTGCGCCAGGTGAGTCGCTGATTTGGAGTCATACATCTGAGGATGTCGAGTTTTCTGGGCTAAACGGATGCAGGAATATTATGTTTTCTTCAGGGACCCTGAGATTTGGCGTTCTGCTTGTGTCAGAGTGTGGGGACGGAACTGCACTAAGCTAGCACCCTTCAAGTCCTGGAGGGAGATGTTCCTGCAGAGGCCGCGTGTTCGATTTGATGGTAACTAAACATTGAGGCAGCTTCACTTCTGTCCAAATTACTGATAACTCTTAACAATTTAAAATCTGATTAAATTTTTTCTTATAACGCCCTTATCCCTCAAATTGGAAAAAAAACTGCTTTTATTTAAAATGGAAAAAATAAGTACATGTGCTTAACAATAATAGAAGGTTAGGACATCAAAATTATTACACAAACAAATTGCAATTGTTAAAAAAACTCAGGAAACACAAACATAGTTATGGAGAGACACCAATTTTAAATCATCCTCTTCAATGAAAATTAAGTTGCTATCTCTTCTTTGTCTTCTTCAGTTATACATTTAAACAAAACTTATAATTACAACACTTTAGAAAATCATATCAACTTTAAGGAGCATTATTGGGAATAAAATCGTGACAGTCATTTTAAATCGTGATTATAGATAACATGATGGTAAAAATATTTTAAAAGGATCAAATAGTTTAAATTAAAATTAAATTAAACACGTATAAGGATCCAATAAATGAAATGACCTAAATTGGATCAGCCAGCTTTTAAAAATATGGATTTGAAATCAGACGTTGGCTGTGTTGTTTCAGGAGGTCTGAAAAAAAAAAAACTAAAAACCCCCTATGCAGAGCAGCAAACAGCCCTGTTAAAATAAAACCCTTACTGTTTCCATTAGAGCAGTGGTGTCCAAAGCTTTTCCCATGTACAAAACCATTAAGTTGAAAAGTCCTTGTGGTTCCAAAAAATGTCACATTTATAATTTAAATTAGATATACATTTTTTTCGAAAATTTGTTTGGCTTATTAAAAAGGGATAAAGAACAATCGCAATTTGACAGCCCCATGAACTAATGAACCACTATCTTTTAAACAGATATCTGGACTAATATCTGCATTAATTCATGGCTGTGTTTGTGTAAAGATCACTTCAATTATTTCTTAAGACCAAAGCAAACCCAAGATGAAAAAATATTTTATTCAAGATATTCCTGCTACTAGACTAGTTGCAAACCAGATTTAAAAAATAAATACATAACATGAATAGTTGTTTTTATTTAAAATCTTGGGTAAGTGATGTACTGGTATAAGTATGTAACTAATCAGGCTGACTTGCTTAGATGGCTTAATGTTGTTCAGATCATGTTGGTCTTTACATTTCAGTCATTAATATTTGCTTAACTGGGGTCCATTCCTGTTGTTTTCATAGGTGTTTATATCAGCAAGACATCATACATTCGACAAGGAGAGGAATCCCTGGATGGTTTCTACAGAGCCTGGCATCACGTTGAATACTACAGGTAAGTTCCTGCTCATCACCGTCTCTGAAAAGGCTGGCACGCTGCTGTTTGAACAGAATTATATCTGTGAAAAAGTTTGAACGTTTATCTGCTATGTTTCAACATTGCTATCCAAGGTACCTCCGGTTCTTCCCTGATGGATTTGTCTTGATGCTGACCACCCCCGAGGACCCTCTGTCGGTTGTTCCCCGCTTGCGTACGAAAAACACAAGGTGCACCTCGGTTCCCTAACAATTAAAAAAATACCAGAAGTTGAGCCATTAAATGTTGACAGTTTTTTCCCTACAGAATGGACTCTGTTCTTCTTGGTCATTTCCGTCTGTCACAGGAGACGGACAACCAAACCAAAGTCTTTGCTGTCGTTTGCAAGAAAAAGGAGGAGGTGAGAAAATGTTTTACTTCCGCATTTTTAAGTAAAATGGTGTCAGTGGCACTGTTAAATTCTCCCTCATTTTGTAAATCCAGCAAAGTTCAGAGTTCGGTTTCAGTATTTTTTTTCAAGTTAATTATGGATATGGAGAAAAACAGCTTTGAAATAATGTTTGCTTTTTAGTATCCATTCATCCATCCATTCAAATTTTTATTATTATTTTCTAAGTTAATTACCTAAAAGACTGAAAAAATTCCAAAGTCTAGAATTTTGATGTAAAAACACACATTAATCCCGAATGTTACAGAGAGATTGTCGAATAACATTTTTTTTTTGACAGAAAGCGACCGAGTTTCAAAGAAATCGGTTCTACAGGCGGAACCAGGCCCCTGAGGCTGAACACACCTTCCATGTGGGGCTGCATCTGACCTCCAGGGGGCGTCAGAGCTTCAGTAAGCTGGTGTGGATCCACCACTCTTGCCACATCACTTACAAGTAAGACTCCAAAGAGAATAAAAAAAATGTTAGCAAAGGAAAATGTGCTTGTATTTATAATTTTTAATTTTTTTTATTGATCATGGTTTTCAGGCTGACTGGGGAAACTGTCATCACAACATTTGACCTTGATAGGATGTACACGCCCTTCTTCTTTGCTCGTGTGAAGAGCTACACTGCTGTTTCTGAGCAGCCCCTGTAAGGAGAAAACACAGCCGTGCATGAGCCTAGTAGAAACCTCACAGAAGAAGGCGATTCACCCTTTGAATGAAACTGGATCCTCCTCAGTCTGTTTAGTTCATCCTGTAGCAGGCTTATGGTATCACCTCTAAAGCCCTCATGTTTTCCTACGTCAGCATGTTTTATTTCAGGTCCACCTCTTAGGATGCTGCTTATTTTCTGATAATCAGAAAAATACAGTGATTTGTTGAAAGCTACACTGATTAGCAACCTTTGCCACCTGTTTCGAGCAATGAATGTGATTTCTGTTTCATTGTGCACTTTCTTCCTCAAATAAATGAGATGGGAAAAAAAGTCTTTTTATTGCAAAATATAAGAAAGCAGGTTTTCTAGCATACATTTGTTTGTGCATGCACAGCTGTGGACATAAAATATTGACTCGTGAAAAAGTCATAGAGATCCTGTTACACAACCTGGGAGAACAGACGGTAGAGATCTGATTTCTGACTTTTACTGCCTTTGTCCTACAGTTGGGTGCATCGGTCTAATCCATGTTTTGTTTCTGAGAACCGAACCACAGCAGAGCCAATAGGATTTGTAGCGATTAAAAAAAAAATAGCTGGATAAATTGGGGGGGGGGGGAATTTTGCTTTTTTCCTTTAGCTGCTTTAGAAGCTTTTATTTAACTGCTGTAAAACTTTATGAAAAAAAAAAATCCCTGTATGTTTAATTAAGAATTATATAAAATGAAACCATATTGAAAGGTAAACATGAGAGGAAGCAGAATTTAAAACAGCAGGATATAGTTTATTTAGATTATGCAGCACCTCTCTTACCATCCTGCTCCATGGTGGTAAGATTACTCTATTTGTCACAGTTCTGGTTATGAACTTTTAATGTCCAACCTTTTCTTTATCATTTTTAGCAGGTTTAGCTCCATTAGGGGTGTAAATCACACCCATCATGGTGATACAATTCGGTATCAATTTCCTGACCCAACGATTTTAGTTTGGATACTCAAGAATACACCACGAATCGATTTGGTTAATTTTTTATCTTTATTTTTTTACACCTTACAGGCTAGACAATGTTTCAAATTTGAAATAAATCAATGAAAGCTGTAATATTGTTTTGCATTTTGTTTGAGAAACAACAGCAAATAACAGAAGTAGGAAAGTTGTACTCCACATAGGCCTATGAAAACTTAATTTACTGAAAAAAATAACACCTCTGTTTTATAGATTCTGAAAGACCTTGCATCAAAACATACTGCAATGAGTGCATAAGTGCACTAGCAGATAAAGTAATAAAAATAGGCCATACTACACCGCAGCATGGGAGTCAGAATTACATCCAGGAGCAAATGGTTAAAAATAGACCGGAGGAAAAAAAACATGAATGGATGCATTGGATCGCCGACTGTTGGATCCATGCATCGATACAAAACGATTATTATTTACACCCCTAAGCTCCATGTGGTTCAGAGTGCAAAGGTGGATGGCTAATCCATTTTATATTTTCAGGACCATTAAAAAATGCTTTTTTTAATTCGAAAGGGGAAATTCAATAATGATGTAACTATCAGGGTTTCTTCAACAAGATGTTGTAGGTGCTGGAGGCAGGTAGGATCTCAAGCTTTCTTTGGATCTGTCTGATTTACTGCTGATCAAATACACATCAGATAAAGGGAATAAATCCTGAATACCTCCTTAAGTGAGCCTTAATCAGCCAATATTATCTGTGGTGCGCCCACAGATAATTGGACACCTTATTGTCCGGAGTGGCGAGTCATTCCATGTCCAAACTACACGATTGGCACTAAAGATTTAATTAAAAACCAAAACTTTACTGCTAAAATCAAAGGTTGGACTTTTCAATAAAGGGTGCATTGTTTAGAGCAATAAAACCTAGAAATATGCAACTTCTTAAAAAAAAAAAAAAAAGAAGTGTGGGCTGTTTATGTGCACTGAAAATCTGAATCTACAGTGACGGAGCATGATGGTAAAAAGGAAACCGCTGTTCTCTGCATTAAAAAAATATATATATTTCTTGTGATTGTTATTGAAGAGATACATTAACTAGGGAATTTATTTAACAAAGATAATCTATGCAGAAGACACAAATTGGTCCAATGGAAGTAAACCGGTGACAAGGATACATTTTTCATTCACCAAGAGGTTTCTCAGGTAAAAGCACTTTTTTTTTTCTTTTTACCTCAGATTGCCAAATAATTAAGTTATTGATTTAAAACAAAACAACAAACAAGGGCTGAAATAAAAGCAGAAAGCACAGTTCATGCCAAAGAAAGGCTGTGGGCCTTAACAGGGAGTAAACAGCCAGACCATCCTCTGAAAATGTTTTCTATTGCTGCAGCTTTTACCTTTTAGTTGTGCTCTGTTATTAAACATCATCTCCTGATGTATGCAGATTGCATCAGATCATATGTTCTCCAAATGTTGCTGCTTCATGTTTATCTATGACTGGTACAGAATAATATTTAAAAAAACTACATTTGTGTATAGAAACTAAATCCTAAACTTATGTGAGGAAAGGTGAGGCATACAAAACTACTGCATGGTTCAGTGACAAAGTATTTTTGTAAGTTAAAAAGGATGTAACTAACAAGAATATAAAAACAAAACAACACCAGGTCTCAAATTTTATGAATCATACATATGGGGAGAAAAATACTGCATTAAATAAAACAAGTGATGAAACGATATAAATGGCGAACAAATAAATACATAAGAATTTTTAGTCATATCAAAAAAGGGCTGCTATACCTTTAAAAAACTTACTCGTAGACCCTTGTAAGGTAAACTTCATTTTCTCAAGCCTACTGAAATTAACATGTCTGATCCAAGTCTCATACAGCTGAGGAGAAGTTGTTGTTTTTTGGTGACATTTGTAGGAAAGAACTCTGTAATTGGGGTTCAAAACAACAACCTTGAGCTGAAGCGGATCAAAAATATACCAGAATTAGTGGTGGAGTGGTGGCCTAATGGTTAGAGCATTTTTCTTGAGTGTCGGAGGTTCTAATTTCAAGCCCCACTCCTACGGACTGCCTCTGTGGGTCCCTGAGCAAGACCCTTAACCCCACACTGCTCCCTGAGCGCCACACCGTGGCAGCCCACTGCTCCCCATGGGGATGGGTTAAATGCAGAGGTGAATTTTTCCAGTGTGACAACAATAATTTTCAGTAAAAAAAAAAAAAAAAAAAAAAAGAATGCTGCTAGAATTTTTGATTTCAAATTGCAGAGTTTGTCATTTGGTTTGGATCATTGGCAAAAATGGCATATCATAGGAAGACCTGACTTTTGAATAAAACTCTTCTTTTTCCTCTTCTTTTCCTAGGCTTTGTTATTGTGACACTTTTTTCTTGATATATAACCTTCAGATTTTCAGTGTTAGATTACAGCAGCAGCACTAACATACAAGTTATATATTTGAAGGCTTTTAAAATCCTTTAATGGAGGTGTCACTAAATGTGGAAGGCATCGTACAGCCCACCTTCCTCTGCTCCTCAGACTATCGCTAAAAATCACCGAAGCTCTATTTCAAATACCGGCTGGGACGCACGCCACAAAAATCCACAAAGAGTTTCTCTGTTCTTCCAACATGTGGTGCAATGCGTCAAGCCCACTCACATTGTGCGTAAGCCTTGGAAATCAGGGCATTTTTTTTAACTTTAAGATTCAACAAGTGAGCCTTGCTACTTTATCTTTCTTTGAAATACTTTTGGTAAAATGTTTCTAATTGTTTTTCTTCGGTTACAATTGGTGGCCTCAGCGTACCATATCAAAGCGGTCACAGCTAGTTCACACCGAGGCCTTTAATGTTATCATGGTCACACACTTTGTGCCAAAAATTCAAAAAATATTTCAAGCAATCCTTCTTAAGGTTTATAAATTATCAGGAGCCATTGTGAGGATTTAGAAAGAAGTGACAGATAATAGCTCTCATACAAATATTCAACATCCTTACTTTGTCCACCTCACAAAGAGCGGGAGAAGGGGATCAAGGAACAACAAAAACAAATAATCCTTTTATCATTTTTTTTTTTTCAATTTAACACTGAAGTCCATACTTGATAAAAAATCTGATATTTTCACAGCCTTGTTGGTGGTATAATAAAGTGCAAAGATCTTTTCTGTGCCCACAAGCTAAAGCCAACAAATGTCAGTGGGCGAATTACCTGGAAACTATTATTGCAACACCATTGTGAGCCTGTTCAGACAAGGATATCCGTGAAATGAAGCAAAAACGTCATCTCTACAGGGAAAAACTCATTCATAGCTCTTTACAAACAGAAAAAACTCACGCTTGACACAATAGTTGGTCAGAACTGTAGTTTTAATGTGTCACAGTTAGTAAAGCATCAGTGAGAACACGTCCCCTGAAGTCTACACCAGATCTCAGAAAAATAAAATTAAAAAAATTCTCTATGTTTTGTCTAATTACATTCGTTTTTGCCTCTTTTATCAGTTAAGATGAAATTCAGTGCTACCCCTGCTCATAAATACATACAAATACACCTGAAATTTTAAAACAAAACCGCTACAGTCATGGTCATGTTTTAACAGAATCAGGTGTTACACGTGGACCGAGTTAATGTGGACTTTGATTGGTGCTGAATTTCACATTTCTGATCTACTGAGGGTGGAGAGAGGTCAACATCTTACAGTCAGTCGGCTGGGACGCTTATTTCACCCAGAAACATCCAGCTCTGTCTGAATCAGAACTAAAATGAGCTTTGGAGGTTTGTAAGCTGATATAATCATTTCTGACTCAACCAGGGTGGCTGTTTTATTCCGTCCGCAGCACTGACGCTAAGCTACGCTTGCAGCCTGCAACGTTACACACATCACTTCACGGTTCAACTTCCGAAAGAAACCTGATGTATATGTAATAAAAGCTGTGAAATAGCCCTTGATCACATTTCCAAGTATGGTAACCAATTAAGCATCGTGTTGATTTGTGATTTGGAGAATGCAGAGATGGTAAAACAGAGAGATTGTTTGGCTCTTTAATGTTAGAAATTTGAGGCACATCTGTTGTTTAAGAACAGTGACTGCCCACAATGTTTTGCTGCAATTTTAGATTTTTTTTTTTATTTCTCTGAAGTCCAGTTCTCGTATTATCCAGAAAGAAATAGTTAACAGGGACTAACCCCATTAATTTTTTCTTCCATTTGTAAGATGCTGTTGCTGCTCAGCTGCTGAGCTGCTTACTGTCAAGGTCCATTGGAGTATGAAGTACTATTTTTAGCTATTCAATAGTCAAAATATCTGCTGGAAATCATGTCTCTTGCAGGACAAAGGGATCCCACTACAGTACAGATAGCCATTAGGAAAAAAAGTTGTTTTTTTTTCTAATATTTTCCTCTTCTGGTTGTCCACAATTTCTTAGGAAAATTCATGTATATCTCTGATGTTTTTACAGTAATGTAGAAATATTATTATTAATATTTTTTATGCCTGTTAGAAATGCAACCTAATGTTGTACTAAAATTAGTCACCTGAGTTTATAGCACTTATATTTAGAGTATGATTGTTTTCTAACCTAACATGAACCATTGCAGAACTTATGAACTTATTGAGTCAATATCTGGCATTGTTGAAAATGCATCTTGGCAGCCAGAAGAAACTGAAAATAAATATTTTAACCATATGCATGTCTTGTAATATACAATACAATATTTCTAATGAACAAAAGCTACTTTCAACACAGTGTGAAAGAAGAATCGGTCAATTGTTAAACTTCTCCAATGCAAGACTATTTTTTTTTTATCCTGCTCTTGAAAATATTGGCTCTTCTTTCACATTGTGACCCCAGCTCTTCTGAACACTAACATGAGCAGAAGCAGCAACACTGAGCTTTGGTTGTGATGAGATGGTTCAACATTTCAAACTGAGCCCTGCGTCCATCTGCAACCGTACGGCTAATCTGCAGGAAATAAAATACGACCTAACTGAGAATACAATTTTGGATCAAGCAACAGGAAGGTAGAGTAAAAACAAAAGAGAAACAGATGTATCATCCTGCAATTACACAATAAAAAAAGACATAATTACTCCATTATTTTTATTGTCCCTTAAACTGATGTTAAGATGTGCTTTAAAACTTACAAGTCATTTAAAACGTAGGAGTTGTTACTCTTTGGACCTTTGCTGTGCAAAAAATCGCTGAATTGTTCTGACTGCATGTCTGTCTGCACTGAGATTTTCACTAGAAATGAATCGATTGTAAAATGTGAGGTAAGCCTAATGTAAAGATATAGGAATACACAGTAACCTTCTGTTAGAGCTATAGGAATTCAAATATTCAAAACCGCCGGTGCAAATACTAGAAGGGAAAAGGGAATACTGTCTGCAGCTATGGATTATTTGGTGTGAGGTGAGTGCTGGTCTACTCTAAATAAGAATAATACAGAGAACTCTAGCTGCATAACCTAAAGGGCTACAGTGAGAATCTGGTGTTGGTTTCCTAAATATCAATCCATCCTGATCTTCCTTGGTGCTGCGTGCTCCAACGATGCTGTTCCATTGGCATGGCCGTTTACTGATGCAGAGGAACCATTCTGATGCTCTTTCTTTCGAGAATCGCTGCGCTTCTTGTAAGTCTGATGTGGGGAAAAAGAAACATCATTGTTAATGTAGAGAAATGATCAGCTCTCTGTGTCAAAGTTATTTTAACAACAAAGGTTAATTCTCAATTGCTTTAAAGATATTTCTCTTCAGGCATGAAGACAAGAGGACAAGACACCTTTTCAAGCATCTGCATCTAGCGTCTACCAAGCTACAAACAGATTACCCAGCTAGAAACCTTTTCCTAAAAAGGCTCTGGAAGGAAATTAGGACAAACACTTAAAAATAGAAATATTAAAGGAGCACATTTGTCAGAAAAACGGATGCGATTTATTAAATGCATAGCTTTTCTTCCATATTTTATCTAAATTTGTTCTCAGGGATGTTTGCTTCATAATCATAATAATTAAAGTGGTATGTATATACTATATATATATCCTCAGCAGGCTTAGTGCATTAAATCAGGAATGGTGTGGATCTTTTCAATAGTTGCACTGAAAGGGAAAACCGATCTTACCTGAATGTAGAAATTTGAGAAAAGCACAGTAAATGACAACATGTAGCTGATTTGGAAGTACAACCATCTCATGGGGAAGCCACATGGCCATACCACTGCAAGTGCTGTTTGTAACATGGTTAGACAGAACTGGATCTGTGGAGAGAAAAGAACAAGATGCCAACGGAGGAGCTTGTAGAATAAAAAAGAATCAATAGGTTTCTAAATAGAAAAAACAAATGAGATATTTGCAGGGAGAAACAGGCAAAGTTTCCACAGATGTGTATATCCACTGAAGTGGCTCTTTTGGACCCAAAGGGCATGCTAATGCTCGATACAGTTGGGAGGACATGCTATATATGGCCTTTTCTCTTTCCACCCCTTTCTTCTACAAGCCTATGCATGCCACAGTGCAAAAGACGCATATAGAGAAAATAAAACGGGAAAAAAACTTCAATAAACTTCATCAAGGACAGAACTATTTACAAGCATATATCCAAGACAGAGTCATCAAAAGATGTCAAACAATGCCTTAAAATACCACAAACAAGAAATCATCTTATAATAATCAGTTTTCATTTTCAAAGCATCACATTCAGAATCAGGTGTCACATTATCTAAGAAGATTAACAAGCATTTCATTGAGACACCATAACTTATATTAGGCACAACATAAACTATCTCAGTTCGGTTTAAAAAGAACAGAATAGCAGAGCAGCTTACATCAGCAAAATAAAACAAGGCCACTATTAATACACAAAACTCTGGTTCATTTTGTTTATAAACCTGTATAGTTGTTTACAGTTAACAAAATGGTGAACAACTCTTAAAACTTGTTGGATTGGACTCAAAATTAAACAATGCCAGATGTGGGATTTTACTGTTCAGTATTAATAGGACTGCCTGGTATAAATCCAAATCCTCTTATAATGACTTAAAGGTATAGAGGACGATATTTGATTTAGGGGTGGATCATCAAAATAAGTGGTCCTCCTAATTGTCAATCATTCTATTGATATGTTAATGTAGGACCATCCTAATGTCCTTGTACCCAGTTAGCTATCTTTTTCTACACATGATCACTTTCAGGCATATATCTGTGCTGAGCTACGGTTTCAGGCAAATGGCCTGAAACCAAAATGACCGAGGGTCGTAAGACAAAACGCGTCTACGAAGTGTATAAGAAGAAAAGAAAGGCCTCAGAAGAGGCAGATATATCCCAGAATGCTTTGCACGGAGAGCTCTCCTCGCAAAGCATTATGGGATTTGCTGTCACATCGACCAGCTGTCGCCATAATCTGGGTTAGTCACCATAGGTGACTAATAACAAAGATGGCACAGGTACCGCTTAGTGGAGGAGTTAGGTGACCAACAGGGAGCAAAAAGACACTGATCATCTGTCCGATCGGTCGGTTAACTGAGTTCAATATAAAGTCACTATAAAGTCCCCGCTCTTTATAGTGATTGAGGGATTTAGGGGATATGGTGGATGTTTCGGACACAACAGCAACTTTTAAATAGAGCATGCATGAGGATGAAATGGGCTTGTACGTGCTCTCACACGCGTGTAGAGGGCGGGTCTATTCATGAAAATCCTCCACTACACCTTTAATTGGAGGAAAACTGAGATATTAGATTGGACTGTCTGTAGACTCAAATCTACAATTAAACTGTCAGAGAAAAGAATAAAAAAAAGGCCTTTACAGATTGAAAGGTTTGATTAACGTTTTCAAGGTAGAGTTGACAACTATTGTCAAATCAAGCTGATATAGCCAAACCAATTAGTGAAAGGGTTAACAACAGTTACCATAATTTTCCTTTTTACTCTCAACTATTTTTTTTTAATTTATATTTGTCCATCCATCCATCCATTTTCTGATACGCTTTATCCCAAGCGGGGTCGCGTGGGTTGCTGGTGCCTATCTCCAGCTGTCTACGGGCGAGAGGCGGGGTACACCCTGGACAGGGCGTTTGTATTTGTCACATCACAAAAACTTTGCGGGTGTTACTGCAGATATTTTCACTTATGAGAGCAGTTCTATTTTTTTGCTCTGTTATCCTGTGTCATTATTTAAGAAAATACATGGACTGTATCAAGTTAACCTACCAGCTGCAGCTGAGTGATATACTTCTTCCACCAGAGGTATGGTCTTAGGGCTGGAATGGCTGCAAGGCCGTAGTAGGAATACATCACAACATGGACAAAGCTGTTCAAGGAGGCCCCAAAATATGCTGAGGAGAAAGAAAGTTATTTATTTGCAGAACTACAAAGAAACATAACGTACAAAGAAACATGCAGTACTTCTGAGGGATTCTCTGGGTAAAAACATGAGAAATATATTGCCAATGCACAAAAATATTTTTCTCAAAGAGCAGCAGTTTCCAGGTGAGTGTACCCTTCGCTAGACAAAAAACTAGTCGTTTTCAGACGTGACTTTAACGTAGCAATGCCTGAATTATTTAGCTCTCTGCAAGGGAGAGTGGGAGAAATGGATTCTGGAAACATTGGAGGCAGTGGAGTGTGAATCTGAGTGAAACACTCACAGTGGCCGCAGGGTATCCAATTCATGACGAACCACCAGATGTTCAGCATGCTGGCGTGGTGGTAGACATGGAGAAAAGTGATCTGGTGATTGTTTTTCCGCAGAATAAAGAAAAAAGTGTCTATGAATTCGATTAGCTTGGAGAAGTAGTACCACCACAGGACACTGATGACCTGGGAATGAAAGGCACAATAAAATGTCACAAAACAAGCGAGCGATAGATCTGCAGGTAAATTTGAACGGTTTAGAGTTAAAATAGATAAGTGCAAGCTTTTAAATAAAGATGCTTAAAAAACTCTACATGCATGCAACAGAATATTAATCATAAAAAATGATAGAAGGTCAGGCATCCAGTCTGAAATGCTCATGAGCAGGTTAGCTATCAGCAGCAGGGCTGCACTGATAACATGCTGCAGACCAACAAAATTATGTTTTATGTTTTTTAATATAAGCCCATAGTTTATATTGCCAATGGAAACCCAAAATATATTCACTCTGATGACATGAATATTATTTACAGATACCAATCAAGACAAATAAACTAAGTTAATCCTAAAAATATATTTGTTTTACCAGTATTATGTCTTACAGTAATGACAGCTTGAAGTGAGATGGAATAAAACATTAATGCAATAAAGAAAAACAGAATGCAATAATAAATAATAAAGTTTGAGTAAAAATCTGACCTTTTTATCTACATCTGGTGCACTGTAAGTGTTCTGGCAGAGGAAGTTGTATCCACCGCGCCACACAGTTATAGCAAGCTGCAGACAAAGCCAACAAAATAAACCATTAATGAGTTAGTTGCCAAATCGGAGATGATAAAGTCAACAAAAACTGAGAGGAGTCCAAAAAAAGCTGTTCCAGCCAGATGTTTCCGCTCCGTTTAGTAGTAACAATACAAATAAACACATCGTTAGAGAGCAAGTTATCAGAACAGATAAGGTTTCATTCGTCTTGTGTAACATTTATAATTAGCATATCTAGCTGACAAGAACAGGTTGAAGTTGAAACAACGGGAAGTTCAAGCCCATGAAGAAGATTCATCATCCAACCGAGAGACACTGGCAGCCACACTGAAATCCTAAAGGAAGTATTGCTTTAACATCAGTCAAAGGTGACAAGCAGTAGAAACTGATCACCGATAAATGTTAATTTTCAAGAAAAAAAAACCATGGCGTATGGTAACCATTTTTATTTGTTATGCTGTTTTGGTTTGGATGTGTTACAATCATACACAACCTAAACAGCTACGGCACCCAAAGCAAAGATATGTAGAAATGTTTAAATACATGTTTTCTTGCCATTGCAATTTCCAATATTCCAAAATTAGTGAAGTCCCAAACAAGTAGGATATGAATAAGAATAATCCTTCATGTGCATCACAGGGATAGATGGCCCTGAGGTTTGTTTGGACTGAAGGAAGCTGGTTAGAATGGAAATATACTGGGTAGCTATAGAGACACAATGCCTGAGACTGGTGAGTCTGTCAGCACTGATCTCTGTAAAATTGTCTTTTTTTAAAGTGTATTAAAACATAGTTTTATAAGAAGTGACACTGCTTCAGCTGAAAAGAGCCGGAGGGATCGCCAAGGTGTCTAACCGCCAACAGTGTGCAGAAGCTGTGATCATTTCAAGGTTTAATGTTTCCTTTTTGTTTGTTTTTTTAATAGATGCTCCGCTCCCTGGTTTCAACAGATACCTATCCCACCTTGTGCTGAGCACTGCCAGTCACCTGGCTGAAAGAGGGCTGCAGAAAGAAAGAGACTTTGTTTTCTCGGCCATAAATGAACCTCATAGAAAGCCTGCTTCTTCCCCCCTAAACTGTGCCGCCTTTAAAGGAAAACATATCTGTGGGCTGAGCTGTACAATGGAGTATGACGGTTAAAGGAAAAACTTGCCCAATCCTCTCTGTAATTTTTGAGAATATTTTGTCTCATACAAACATTGACTGTCATCTTATTGAAGCCATTATCATTATTAAAGTAACACTGATTTAAAACTACTGCTGGCAATTAGTTTGTTTATCATTGAAATGGAGGCTTTGTTTGAGCAAATAACACCACTAATTACATTATATCAGCTTGTTTTATGTTACAATAAAATAATAAAGGAAATTTAGAAGGATTTTAGTATATGTTGGCTTAAGTTTATGAAGTAATATTGAGAATTAGAAAAAAAGATGTTCTAGGTAATGTTCTAGTGAGCTAGGAGCAATATCTGTAACATGAAAGCCACCTATATTTACATTTAAAGGAAATGTTCTTAAAAGCACTATATAAAGATCACGTTTTCTTGCCACAATGCTCAATGAGGACGGTGAGGTAGCCCCAAAAAATCCAATGGCAGCTGTTTTTTTTGATACTGTGGAGGATAATCAGTTCATTTGAAGCATATTAGATTATAACAAAATAGATAAAGAAATGGCTTAATCCAAAACACTTTAGCTTTAAAAATACTTTCACTCTCCATGGATTACAAAGCACACTTATCAGAACTGACTGCTTTAGTGTTAACACAAATGACTGATTCTGTTTTTAACTTGAATTGTTTTATTATGTGCAAATAGACATTAACCACTCTGTAACAGTAACCAGCCAGCTTATTAAACACAATGTATTGCAGGCTGGATATTGACTTTAGTGCTGGCAGGTTGACAGGGGACAGCGAACTGATCTGCACTTTGATTCACATCAGGTGACATCAGGCTTGGCCCACTAAAACTTGAACCCGAGTCTGGGAGTTTAATGAATAAATGTCCAACTGTTCACTGGGACTTTATGCAACACAGAGGGCAGGACTGGAAGCTCCTTCTGCCAACAGGACCGGAAACTAAATCTTGGCTTTGATAAATCTGGATCTTGGGTTCTAGTCTTATATAAAGTGACAAATGCATATGATTACTGCTACATAACTTAGTTAGAAGATGCAAGCTTGTGTATTCTCATTTCACTGCTTCCACGTATTGTGTAAACTTTGCTGATAGATTAAAAAAAAAATGCCTTTAGATAATTTTGGGATATTCTGACGTCAATCAAAGCATGCGAGGGATTTGATTAGTAAAACAGTCAGCCTATCGACGTCCTGTTGTGTACTTGTCATTTCCTGATAACATTGTTTTAAGGGACAAACCTCAGTAAAACAAACAAGCAAAGACCAAATTAAGGATGTGAAGATACATTCCAGTCAGATTTAGTATGTAATGCTGTTATCTGTACATAAAACTACCTGCTGATTCGTGCAGAGCTAAACTAACAGTCTCCTGACTTTTTGATCATTCTTTTTGAAGGGTTACTTGTATTTAAAATAAATAGGCTTAAATCAAGCTTTTTTTAAGTAGTTGTTTAAATTAAATTATTTCATGAATGAAGGAAAGGGCTTTCTAAATCAACCTGGATCTTTGTGAAATGCTAATTTTGCCATATACCAACTACACTATGCTGGTTGTGCTTTTCTTAGCGGCAGCGAATGCCATTAAACTTTTGTGACAACTGCTCTTTTACATGTCTGTGAAGCAATTTTTGCGATGTTTTCTTTGCAAAATTGTATTAATTCAGTCCCATTGTGCGTTGAGTTTTAATCACCAGCAATATGTTTAAGGTTGCATTTTAATCTGAACTTGGACTAGGACACTACAAAACCATATTTTTGTTGTTTTAAGCTATTTAGAGATAGACCTGCTGGTGTGCTTGCATGTTCTGGTGCATAACTCAAGTTACCTTTCACTTAAATGTAGGCATTAATGGCTGTAAGGTTCTCTGAAGGAAGAGCAGACTTAATGTTTAAAAATGTAGTTGTCCAGGTTTTAAGGTACCAGAGCCGCACCAGACCATTACAGCATTCAAAAGTTTTGAGGATTATTAACATCTTTCTGATCTCCTTGATCAGTAGTGGTTTTTAACATGTTACTCTTGTGCGAATCCTCTTTTTACTTAGTTTATCCCTTTTCATTGAATAATGAAACCTGATCTTAAGGCAAATGAAGTCTGCAGCACTTTAGATGCTATGCATGGCACATGTGACCTCTAGAATGAGTTGTCACGTACTCCTGGTGTAGTCCCTGAATGTTTTTTCAATCTTTTAATTGATTCCCTTAGTGGTTTTTTGTTTCAAAGCCTTAGAATAACTGTAATTCCAGACTGATAAATATCAATGCCTGATCTACCTCTGAATTTCATTTGATTAGGACATCCTCTGTCACCTGCTGAGATTTACTTCAGGATTGTTAGACAGATTCAATCTCAAGGGATTTCTTAACTTTACAAATCAGGCAGTGATAAAATCAGCATAGAGGAGGAAATAAATTCAGCTGTCTAGCAATGTTGATATTAGGAAGCTCATGCTTTATGGGGGCAATATTACATTAAGTGTGACAGAGAAGCAAAAGATCTTCAAAGAAGCAAACAATGGATTAATTAACTATATTAATACATGCTGGCTAAAGTTCCTTCTTTAACTGTGGATCTGATCATTTCTCAAATATAGTGTTTTATCTAGCCCTAACATGAGCCTAAAAGCTGAAGTCTTACAATGGGTTATCTTGTAAACACAAACAGAATATCTAAATCCGGTAAATATTTATGCTTTATTGTGTTGTGACTGCACGTTTTGGCGCGTTAAATCCCATCCCAGCAGTCTGTTTACCTCATAACACATGTAGAAGGACAAATAGGTGACTCCCAGATTGTAGAGCACCATGAGGGCTCTGCAGGAATATGGTTGCCTGTGCTTCATGTACTTGGGCCCCAGCCACACAACCAGGAGGTACATGACTGTGAGTGCAAAGGTTGGTAGGTAATTGTCGAGCAGGAGCATTCCCCGCACCCGCTTATCTGAAATATTGAGATAAAGAGGAAAGTGAGTGAGATGAATCACAGGAGAAAGGTTATTAAGTGAAAAAGAAGAGAGGAATCCTTTCATTGAACTTTAAAAGAATATGGATCCTTTTCCAACATCCTCTTACCTCTAGGACCCATCCATGTTTCAAAGTAGGTGTTTAGTTTGTGATTTAAGGTCTCCATTTTTATACCTATAAACATGGGGAGATAAAATAATAATGAGATATATTAACATCATAGAAATAAACGATTAAAAACTACAACATGACACAAAACTGAAGTTAACACAAAAGTTGTACAATGACGTCCTGCTGTTACAGTGTTCAGTTCCACGTTAGAAGAGCATTGATCAAAGAGGTCCCACTGCTCTGGTGTGAGAATCTCTTGGCGAGGCAATTATAAGACATGCACTCAATATCTGCTCTTTAGAGAGTAGTAAGATAGAAGTCATTGCTGAAAGTAAGCAGCAAGAAACGATTAACGTTTAATTCTGTCTCTATATACAGTTAACAAGTGGCTAATCTACATCATGAACTTTTACACCACGCATCACCCTGAGAAAAGCCCCCTCACAGTGAAGCAAGGCAGAGGTGGCATCATGGAGATTTTTTTTTTAACTAGGGAAAAACAAGCTGATCTGAGCTGAAAGGGAGAAAGAGGGAGATACACATTGATTTAATTGCAGCAATAGATTATTATACATAGAACTGTCCCTGCTGTGATTAACTATGCCACAGTTTTCACTTTTTTATTAATTCTATTACATCCGTGAGGCAGACATCCTGTCTACTTTTAAGGGTAGGCTTAAAATGTTCTTTTTTTTCTCTGAGCTATCTCTATAGTTATGCTGCCATAGGCTTAGACTTCTGGAGGACATAGGGACCTCTATTTCATCATTCTGTTTCATTCTGTCACTATTCTCCAACTCTTAGTTCAATCTCTAATGTTATGCTCTCTCTGCTTTTTCTCGTAGTAGCTTTGCCTTGTCTGTTCCTGTTTGGATGTGACAAATATCAACTGTGCTGCTGCCATCAACACCTTTGCTTATAGATGATTGAGATCGGCCTGTTTTCCAGTGTAGTCCTGTTTCTCTGACTGTGACTGGCTGGATGTGCTCTCTTCATTCTCTGACACTGGAGCTGGCTCGGAGCTCGTCTGCCTGGCTGTGTGTTTCCTGGACGGGGCCGCCTTTTACAGCTGCTTTTTGTATCTATGCTTCTGTCTCCTTGACAGTTGGCCTCAGCAGATGGCCGCTCACACTGAGCCTGGTTCAGCTGGAGATTTCTTCCTGTTAAAAGGGAGTTTTTCCTCTCCACTGTCGCTACAAGCATGCTTAGTGTGACGGATTGCCTTCTAGTCAATGAGTCGATGCAATCAACTGGTTTTCCTTAGATAGAAAACTTTGAATCACTTTGATTGTATGATCTGGTGAACTGTAAAGTGGCTTGAGATGACATGTGTTATGAATTGGCGCTATATAAATAAACTGAATTGAATTAAATTCATTAAAATATAAAAAAGCAGATTCGACCTTATGTTCTCTTATTACAATCCGACCACATAAGGAAGCTTTTGGTTTTTAGGGCCCCTAATATCCCTCATCTACCTAAATTATATTAAAAAAGCTAAAGTGACAATAATGTTGGAAATTCTCCTATAGAGAACCATTTTAATTTATCACAAGTTTTTAATTTAGCAACTCATAAGAAAGCATGGATGTATGCACAAAGACTGATTGTCAAAACAAAGCTCACTCAATGGCATTTAGGGATGAGGGCAATCAGAGGGTTCACACTGTGCCTTGCTTCAACTGTAATTCAGCTGAGCTAATCAAAGCCAATGGCCAGAGTGTCAAATACAGTATATAGTTGACCTTTAGTTCTATTGCTCTTTGAACTGTCTTAAATAAAAGTCTATGCTCTGTAATTTACCAGCAACAGTCAGTAGATTCTATGAATTAAGCGTTATGCTAAGACTCTTGGCCTGTCGTAATGACATCAAATAAAGTTCTATTAATATCTGTTTCTCGACTTTATCATAAGGTCTCTGATCTGAATGAAAAATATTAAATGAATTTAACCTTTGACAAATCCTACGGATCAAAGAACATAAACAGCTAGATTAAATACAATTTTACCTTTATTATAAAATATCAACAAGACTGTTATGCTGCAGCAGAGAGAAAGTCTGAGTGAATCAATTAAGAAAACAAACTTGAACCATAATTGCTCCAGAACTGTGTTTCCAGCGTGTTTTCGCATTTGCAACATCCTGCTGTAAATATAAAGCTTTCAATTAGAAATAATTATATAGCCTCCACTCTTTAAGACTTTCTTGAAATGCATTTAAGGGATCAAATACATCACAAACAGCTGCATCCCTCACAGTCTAAACACCTGCATCTTCATCTGCAAGCATACCAGGAAACACTGCATGCTCACTGCAAAGCTTATTATCCTTTGTGAGAGTTTGAGGTGCTGGGTGTTAGCATGCGTTTTATTTGGGTAAAAAGGTCAGATATACTTCTGTATAATATAAATGCAAACCAGTGAAAAGTTAGCAGGATAACCTCAAAATGTTCTGAAAAAAAAGGAAGCAAAATTTTCCGATGCACCTATGAAAGGCTTTTTTTTAAATAAAATATGTAAAAATAATCTGTGGGGTTTTTATGCTTTATTAATCACTTTGGTTTGTATTTTGATTAACTTCTGCAAAGAAGTCAAAAGCTTTAGCTTTTAGTTTATTTGGATTGTGTTGTGTCTGGTCTTTGTGTCTTTGTATGCCTGTATGTCATTATTTGTAATAATATCTCAGCTTCTGATGGTTGTTCTCAAAGGGTTCCCATACCACATATTGCCTCCCAAACAGTCCTAAACAGGTAACTTCTTAAATTCCCTGTCAGATCCTTCCTTCCTTCTTCCTTTTTTTTAAATAAATCCTCACATTTCTTTTTTATTACAGTGCTTTTTGTGGCCTTCCACCACAAACCACCACAACCACTACAGGTATGTCAGTTAGATGGGGCACAAAGGCACAAGAAATACCATTAACGCACATTTTTTTAAATTCCATTTCTTTCTATGTTATTACCTTATTAGAATGTGTGTTTTTATTGGATTTGACAAGACCCCACATTTGAAAGCTTTCAGACCCAGTCCAAACTTTGGGAACTATTGATACAAGACAACAACATCAACAATGCTTTCTAAGGAATGCTGCTACAATATTTTTTTTTATTGATTTAAAATACAACAAGAAACCAAACTAATTAATTAATCAATTAATACATAAAAAATAATTATGTGGAACGTGGAGCACTTCAGATTAAGTTTAGTTCCTACTTTTGGGAGGAAGAGCTTATCTCTCAAAACAAGCTAAAAGAAGCACTCCTTGGTTTTCAATAGTTGTGATGTGTCTTCAGATAATGGATCATGTAAACACTTGATTCATGGTGTCACTGAGGATTGAACGTGCATGACAGTGACTAGACGAGTCATGTTAGTTTGTCTGGTGAGACTGGACGGTGGATGGAGAAGCATATTAGCACTCTGCTTGATGCTTAGGTTAAGGTTTAACTTTCTCTCTGCAGTCTGGATGCAGTCCTTGCCTACAGGACAACCAGCAATAACCTCCTTCTAGATCGTTGTGGTCAAACTCAAAGTGTTATACTAAAGACTGGTGTATTTCTGTTGACCTTTGGCTTATTTTTGCCAGTTCTGTTTATATAAGCAGAACATTCTTGCTCTCTCATAGTTGTAAACTGAAGGCAAAACAGAAAATATATCATAAGTCTGTCGGCATTTGTCAGTTTTATGCAGAGTGACCATAAAAAACACAGACAGGTTGGACTGCCAAAACGAACCAAAACCAAAGCTGACCATAGTGTACTACAGGGTGCAGATTGTGTGAAAGCTAAAACTGGCTAATTTCAATGTAACAAACACATCAAACCTTCCAAATCACTAAACTGGATACTCTACATAAATTAGCATTTTTTGATTTTATTATTTTCTCCAGTAACAACCTGAAAAACAAAGAGACCATTAGTATTTGAGCCCATTTACTATGAAACCCTATTTAAAATCCTTTGCACACAACTCCTTCAGAGCTAAACTAATTAGTGAATAGAGGAAAAACCACAACATGTTTAGGGATAAGACGGTAGAGATGTTTACAGCAGAGCTGAGTTTATAAAACAACATTGCTTCTCTACCTGAACCGACAAACTGGGTAATAAGAGCACTAATCAGAGGAGCAGCCAAGGAATGGTCAAGATTGACGCTGGAGGAGCTGAAGAGATCAGGTGGAAGATTCTGTTGATGTGACAACTGTAGCAGGAGAAAGATGTTCATAGAAAAACCATGAGAAAAGGCAGGAGGATGATGAAGATCCTGATGTGTGGATGCACACACACGCAAAAGAACAAAGAAAAAAAAAACATAAAAACTAACAAACTGGTCAGAGTAGATGGAAAATACTGGAAAATCGGACGAAAGATTGAAACTTTCCAGTAGGTTAACAACACTTTACATACGTATGTATGTTTTCCAGCCCAAAAAAATTTTCATAAACGTCCTGGGTATACGAAATCTCGCCCAATTTGAACCAAAGTCTATTGATCTCTTAGGCCATAAATCTAAAGAAAAACATTTTTTACCTATAGACGGCCATCCTAAACTGCCAGATTGGGAAACATCCCAACCTGGCAACATCGCACGTAAGACGGGAAACATTATCCTGTAGATGCAAAACGCCATCATGCACCGCAACATATTTTTGCTAAATATTTGAAGATAAATTCACCAAATATTAGAGGAACATCGTAGCTTGGTTTGAAGAAAGCATTTTAGTTTTATAATAATTTAGTTTGTTGCAAAGATTTTACAGTTTGAAGAAATATAAAATTACACCATATGCCAACCGTCAAAAGGATGTGCATGACAAGGAAGGGCTATACATACTGCATGCATCATTTAGGTAGGTAACATTGTACTACTTCTTGAGTTCTGCGCAATGGCGTAACTATCAGTAAGCAGAGTATGCAGTTGCTTAGGGGCCCCGTCACTGACACCTGGTAGGCCCCCTACGCAATTGTGGACTTGGACGTCTCTTTGCAAACGTAATGGTGCGAAAAATTAGTCTTAAACCCACCTGATACTAGTTTGACTGACCGGACCTTATTTATACCCCAACACATGACAGATTTCAACATGATGGTGAGCTGTTTAAACACGACACCAATAACAAAGCAGACAGTGGTACTTTTAATTACTATGTTAATAACTGTGTATAGTTCATTAGATGGTTGCTAAAAAATACACTCATATAATATATTTCAAACTGAAATAAAGATCTTAAAAGAACAATGTATTTGAGGATTTTATTTTTTACACTACGACTTGGAATTATGGGTAATCCAGAGCGTAGATTAAAACCATAACCGTTACGTTTGATGTGTTAGCGACAACGGATACCAAAATGAGGTACTTAAGCGGATTCCAGAAAAAAAAAAGCAAAGAGTTGCTGGAACTTCCCAAAATAAACACGTTCTTTCAAAGAACCGAAGAGAGGTGGACGTTGCTGCTACAGTGAGGGAAGATTGTGACCAGGAGATGAAGATCAGGAGATGGAGAGAGCGTGGGTGAGGAGGGGGGCTGTGAAACTCAAGGTAGCCTGATAAGACATTTTACAGCAGAATACACTAAAGTATATTCATATCTAGTGAAGGTGAAGAATGATGAAGTGTGTATGTATGGAAAACGTTTTGGGTCGGTTGTCTATGGCAGCGGTGGCGGGGTGGTTGTACTTCATATGGGGCCCACCCAGATAATGTTGGATACCTATTGTTGTGTCGTTACACCATTGGCTCCATCATTTATTTACTGTCACAGGTAGGTGCTTCAGACGAAGAGTAAGTGGGGCCGGTATGATTTAAGGAGGGCTGGCCCTCCTTAGGACCGGCCCACCAGATTACCAGTCTGAGCATGTTTACATACAATCAGTGCATCTAATGGGCTGCTTGAATGAACCTTTCCATGGAAGCATAGTTAATGTAGGGTTTATCATAATACTGAGCTATAGCATCACACAAGGAGACAAATCAGGCAAAAATCAAAGCATGTCCATGTGTCAGAATGGTCTAGTCAAAGCCCAAACATAGTCCAATTAAGAATCAGTGGAAAGACTTGATCACTGATTTTCAAACTCTGAGTATAAATTAATGTGACCTGAATTTGATTGTAATACATAGATTATTGCTAAAATATTACAGTTGCAATGCTTATTTTTTGATTGGTTATTTCTAAAAGAGTCTCCCTTTATTTGAGCTTTAAAACTTTTCCTTAGAAGGAGCTCTCCTAACTTTGCTCCGCCTGTGAAGTGCGCTCCTCACAGGGGGAAAAAAACACAAAAAAACCCGATCCTCATCGCTTTTATTGTATAACAGAGATTTCACGGACGGATCACGCGTGGAACCCAAAGTGCATCTTCTAATGGACTGTAATAATAAAACAGCAGCCTTGTCTCGGATGAAACTGAAAGATGGCTGGTACAGTTACATAACAATCTAATTAATCGCACCAAACTTCACTGAAAGGAGTTTTTTTTTTCTCTCTAGGAAACATAAATAAAAACTTGAGGCTTTATTGTAAAGCAGAGCGCTCACCGGTTGAGCGTGAAAAGTGTTAAAACAAATACTCACCATACAGGCTGAGGTGGAGGAAACGTGGAGGAGAAGCGTAGCAGCAGGCTGATGAGTGGGAGCACAGTCTGCCCTGTCTGTGTAGCTGGAGTGGGAGGAGGAACACAGCGTGGACCGCTGCCCGGCCGGCGCTGGGTTATAGCCAGGAGGTGACCTGCTGTGTCGCAATGACACTCACTATCAGAGGGATGACATCAGGCCATGCTCAGCCCTACAGTACTCAACCCTAGATATGAGCCCTGCAGCTGCAGGTGAACGCTGCATAAGGAAGGGATGATTAAGATGCTTCACCTGGCTTCTAAAAAAAAACATGCAAAAAAATCATGCATCTTCATTCAATTATCTGTTAGATTAATATTTGATCAACTTGGATCCACAGCATTACAGATAATAAAACATTTCATACAGCCTTCAAATATTATAATAATATATAATAATAATTTTTTTTTCATCAGGATGGCTATAATCTTAAATAAAACGTTTTGCAATTATACTATCTAACTGTTTTATTGTTTATCTTTGCAGTGATAAGACTATATTAATGGTTATAAAATGATTAAGTAGTAATGTTAAGCCCTCCCCTCCTACAAAGCCCACTCTGCTCAGATTGGTCAGATCCTCTGACCTGATCTAACCCCACCCACCACTCCACATCACTTCTGCTGGGATGCAAAATGTTTCATAGGAGGCAAAGGTAATCAGAAACGTTGCAGGGTTGCACCGGGCATAAGTCACCTTTCTTGTTGTTTTGGAATGAAAAAAAAAAAACAAGTCTGTGTTTCCCTGGATTATGTTATAGATATTATAAATCCACCCACTTGTGCAGAAATCAGAATCAGAATCAGAAATACTTTAATAATCCCAGAGGGAAATAACTTTTGTTTCACCCTCCAGATGCAAAAAAAATAAACAAATAAATAAATATAAAAAATAAATAAATATATATCAATATATATATGTATATATATATAAAATAAAGGTGCAGTGCAAGGATTGAAAGAAAACTGAAGAAAACTGCTATACTTCAGATAAATTGTATTTGAAACAGGGAAGGGGAAATGAATGCTCTTATAAAATGAGTGATCATTTTAAAAGTTTTTATTTATATGTGAAATCTATCCATTACAGTGCAACAGAAAATCTGCTATAATCTGATGGCATGATGCCAATATTATGTAACTTCAATCCAAATTCAACATTGTGCCTACCTGGGTATACTCAGCATCATAGCAATATTTACACACTCGTTATTAAAGTTCCGGATTGTCTGATCAGTTTATCTCTGAACTCGGGTATCCCTTTAAATTTCATTATGTGAATTTAGATACATAAATGATGTTGAAAAATGAATTCTCTATCCAGCGTCAGCTTTCTAGCAGAGACCTGCAGGTCCAACATTTGGAGCTGATCACATTTTTATACATAAACAAAAAAAAAATCTAGCTAAAGAAAACTAACCCTAAAGAATGATGCTTCAGCACTTCATTCAAATGTGCTATGTTGTTCTTTTGGTGTTGTTTTACAGTACACTGTTTTTTCATATCTATCATTTTGAAGTGTTGCTCAGAAAATAAAACAGAGATTAAGAATCAGTCCCATCTGATGAAATCCCTGCAGCCATCCTCTGTAGTTTCTCACTTGTCTTCACATACATTTTGGACAAAAATCCAGTTGTAATGACACCATTGTACCATATTTTCTGCAGTGTTTGATGATGCATTTATAGGATGAGAACATATTGCTTCTTTTTTAGCTCTTTACACAACCTAGCCTGTAAAATATTGATGGAAGGTGTGAACACACAAGAACTAAATGCTGAAAATGAATAAAAAAATTGTTCCAGAAAAGTGTAGGGGTACACCCACTTATATTACTTCAATGTAATTTACCAGTTGTCTGCAGCATGGTGAAAAGAAAAGTTTTAGAAAAAAGTGTGAAACTACAAATTTTTCATGTATCATATAAACTTTTTAATAGAGGTATGTAGACTTAAAATCTAATTGAAGTACAGTCGTTTTGGATCCAAACATGACAAAATAAAATATGAAATAGATCACTTTGTGCTTGGATTTTGATTGTTTGGTTGAAGCTTTTTTATCCATCAAAAAGGGAAAAATAATATTTACCATAACATACACAAAACTTACAAAAACCAGGACAAATCTTTAAAAGAAATCACACAGAAATCCTTTTTTTTGTTAGATAACCAAAGGTTTATTAGCATTGCATCCAGTTGCTAATGCTTTTCAGAATAATGAGTAAATGCTGGGATCCATGTCAACAGAGATTTTCAATCAACAGCAACATATTTTTTAACAAATCCCTATAAACTCTGGAAATATTTTTTTTTACATTGATTTTTAAATTACTTTATGATTGACTATCCCACACTTTGCCAAAAAAACAAACACTTTTAACCTCTTTAAAATGTGCAATATTTAGAAGAATTATGTATTTATTTTTTGTTTAACTCGGTTTTTGTCATAGGCTTAATGATGAGTTTGTTTGCTTTATATCATACGGAAAGCCCTTAGAGTCTTTTTTATTGTTTATTTAATGTGCTTAATTAATATGTAATCAAAATATATTTTATTGTTTCTCAGTGGGAAAATTAAAGGATGCCTGCAGCAAAATGACATGCAAATGGACTCATGCAAATGAACACAACAATGACAATTTAAAAACAAACAGAAATTTAATATAGGAGACTGGAATGGGAAATTCCCACAATGATTAGGAAAAGCATACAAAAATTATTATACGTTAAGAACAACAGAGTTTGCCAGAAATAAAAAAAAGAGAAATAATCCATCTGTTGCAGTATTAGTGATATCTTTGTGTAGAGATAAGGGTACCCACAAAATGGTACATGACCTCCCAAAGAGTGCAGATTTTCCTTTTACTCTTTACAAAAAGCTCAGTTGTGTACTAAAAGGACACCTGATCTCTCAGGACATCCTTTCTTGTGCGAAACTGAGACGGTACCAGCTGATTCTTTGGACCCTGTGCTCTGAGGTAAAGCCTCTTTGGACACAGCTTTGTTGGTTCATCCTCAAATGTTGAGGTCAAGATCTGCTGTAGGTAATGGCTGGGTTAATGTTTCTGGCTCTCTGCTGTCTTACTATTATGGGATGTTTGTGTTCTGTTAGAGATAATGGTCAAAGTAACACATATAAGTTACACAAGCTGTGATATGTGGACGCACTGTATATATTCTATATATCCTAAGCACCCTTTTCTTCCTTTGGCTATTTGAGCTGATGTAATGAGTACATTTCTCCACTGTGATCAATAAAGTATATCAATCAGTCAATCAAGTGGCAACTTAACTCTGAATTATGCTTTTTAACTTAATGATTGGAGCAATTTTGTTCACCTTCTAACACTAAAATAAATAGCATTAAAAAGCTTCATCCAACATCATGGTTTCAGGACAGAATGATGTTGGATGATGATGGCCACCTCTCATTTATTATAGTCTCAGTTGTACTTTGTATTTACAATGAACTGTTGGCATGCTACCTTGCTGGAGTGATAGTGATTCGGGTTGTGTCTGAACGTGAACATAAATTCCTGCTTGCTGATATAACTAAAAAAAAAAAAAAAAAAGACTACTTAGTTCCGCAAAAGTAATCCAATTGCTTGATTGACTCATTTTTTCATGTTACAGCTAAACCTCCAGTAAAGTGTATATTAAGGGCCATCCTTACAGGGCTCCTTCCTTTTTTTATATTTTATCTGTCATCCTGTTAACTCTGCCCAGCTTTGCTGTCACTGCTGATAAAAAGAACCCCATGAGGATGTCATATCAAGGGAAAAAAAATGTTTTGCAAGGAATTCATTAGACTCAATTTTTGTCTCATCACTAACATTGCCTACTTCAACATGTTTGCTGTCCTCTACATGTGTATGGCGTTCTGTTTTTTTTTCTCTTTTTCTATAAATTGTAGATGCATGATGAGCAGTAAAGGCAGGTGTAGTATTCATCCACCTGACCTACAAAAATCTGCAGCTCCCTCAGAGCCAGCTTGTGGGTTTAAAGCCATGTCATTCTTGGATAGTAGATTAAAGACTTCTCCAACAGATGTTTATATCTTGTTAAATTGTTGTATAACCTTTATGCTTTAAACCTTTTTACAAGTTTCTCCATATCTGCTGAGATACTTAGTCTTCACGAGACTGTTTGCTGTTAATGTTCTCTAAAAATAATTTTAAGGCCTTTGTAGAACAGCAGTTATTGTGCTAAACTGGGCACTCAGTTCCATGGCACATTGTATTTGTTGTTAATAGATTAAAATTAATTTAAAACTAAAGCACCTTTCAGATATTTATTTGGAAAATATTTGAAAACCATGCATCCTTTAACTTTTTATGTTTATATTTCCCCACTGTAATTTTTTTCAAGTAATTGAAATGTCTTTAAATAGACATTAACATGAATTCAACACAATGTAGTAAACAGATAAATGGAGGCAGAAGATGTCTTTCATTCATCAATGCACAGATTCAGCAACACACAGGAGCTCTTTCAAGCTGGGCACCGTTTCATTCACAACACCTGCCCCATCAACCAGGAAGCAGAATCAGAAATACTTAAATAATCCCAGGGCGAACTACTTTCGTTATATGATTCCATCTGTAATGGAGTGACTTTAGGACCAGTTTGATTTAACACAATTTCATACAATATATATATTTGGGGGGTCCCCGCTCCATCTTGCCATCAGTTTGGGGGTCCTTGGCCTGGAAAACTTTGAAGACTTGGCCTGGAAAACTGTAAATATTGGGCTGGTCTTCTGTTTTTTTCTTTCTTTTTTTTTATTTTTTATTTTTACAAACTGCATATTTAGAAATTAAATTCTTTGGGCTTCCACTTTTGGCCTAGTTTCCTTTAATGTCTTAAAGAAATTAAAAACAAATCTAAATCAGATACTGAAAGAATAAGAACACAGATCCATGGCATAATGTTTTGGAGGTGAGAAACTTTTTTTTTCACAGAGTTAAATCATTAAAAAGTCTGACCTGTAGCTTTAAAACACAGAGAACCTGTACAATGCAAACATTAATGCATTATTAGCTATTATTGTAATGTCAATCTGCTATTAGTATGCCTAAACATGAGAAAATAAAACACTGAGCATATTGTAATCTTTAGAGTTGTCTCAGAAGAAGAAAGAAAGCCCCCCTTCTGGAAAAAAACCAACCCGTC